GCGAGGCTCTGAAAGATCGCGAGTTGGAAGTTCGAACGGCAGCGCGCGGGGCGCCGGGAGCGGAAGTTGGCCGCGGGCTGTGCTTCCGGCGGCGGCGTGGGGGCAGCCGTGAGCCGGAAACCGCCGATGGCCGTGGGGGCCGGCTGCGCGGTAGCCGGGACCTGCCCGCGAGGTAAGGTCGGCGTCGGCCTTCCCGGGCATGGCCACTCTGGCCGCGGTGGCCGGCGCGGCCGTTGTCGCGCTACTCTCGGCTGCGCTCGCGCTGTACGGGCCGCCGCTGGACGCAGGTACCCTGCCGCGAGCCGCCGTCCGCGCGGAGGCGCTGCTGTGGGGCTCGTGGGCAGAGCGAGCCGGCCGTGCGAGCAGAGCGCGTCCGCGTTCAGGCGGTGAAACGCCGGCACCACGGGGCAGGGGCCGGCCGCCCGCGCGAGCTCGGACCGGCCGGACGGGCGTGTGGACAGGGACCATTTACTGGGATGGGGAAGGTGGTGGGAGCTGAGCTCAAAAGTGGGTTTGGGAGTGTTAACCTTCAAAATAAAACTCGGTTATTTTACCAGCAAAAATGGGTTTATTCGGCAAAAGCGAAGAATTGCAATTTGGAACACTCAAGCTTCTGCAAAACCATCAGTCAAGTCCAACAAAAGAGAGGAAGGTAATTTTATGGAGGCAGTTGGGAAGGGCTGTCTCAAACTAAATTCCACTGGAAAAAGCAAGAGTTCAGGGTGGTGAGGGGGTCTCACTGGCTGAGCTGCAGGGGTGGCCAGTTGCTGGAGGAGATGAGTGCCCACCTCGCCCTGCTGGGGCCGCTGACGATTCCTTCCAGTTGGGGATTCTTTTGGTGGGAGTCTGTAACCGACAGTTCTTGTGATTATGATGGAGCGGCATGGCTCCCCCTTCTAGCCTCCCAACTCTGCTTTCGGGGGCTTCCTTGTATTAACTTTCACAGGCGCTGCCCAGCTGAACAGACCCGGTTTGGAGTCTTAGGGTAGCGGGGGCGCCTGGGACCTGAATCTCCCGCCCGCAGGTTAATAGATGGCGGCTTCGCAAGCAGGCCCTCAAAGGCCTCCACCTGCTTTCTGAGGCCTAACGCCAACTGACGGGTGTCCCGAGGGCAACCTGCTTGTCGACTGGGCAGCTCCGGCCTCAATCATTCCCTATAACGCCCCTTGCCCTGACAAAGGAAGAGCAGAAACTACCCAAACCTTAGAGCATTAAGGGGCACCTTGGTTATGTAACCTGCTTTGCCCCAACACTCCCGGAACCAGAGGTGGGCCAGGCTCGGTTGGGCGCGGAGCTTGTCAATCATCTTGAGCCGCGTGGGAATGGTGGAGGCCCGTGTGGGTGGGGCGAGGCTCTGAAAGATCGCGAGTTGGGAGTTCGAACGGCAGCGCGCGGGGCGCCGGGAGCGGAAGTTGGCCGCGGGCTGTGCTTCCGGCGGCGGCGTGGGGGCAGCCGTGAGCCGGAAACCGCCGATGGCCGTGGGGGCCGGCTGCGCGGTAGCCGGGACCTGCCCGCGAGGTAAGGTCGGCGTCGGCCTTCCCGGGCATGGCCACTCTGGCCGCGGTGGCCGGCGCGGCCGTTGTCGCGCTACTCTCGGCTGCGCTCGCGCTGTACGGGCCGCCGCTGGACGCAGGTACCCTGCCGCGAGCTGCCGTCCGCGCGGAGGCGCTGCTGTGGGGCTCGTGGGCAGAGCGAGCCGGCCGTGCGAGCAGAGCGCGTCCGCGTTCAGGCGGTGAAACGCCGGCACCACGGGGCAGGGGCCGGCCGCCCGCGCGAGCTCGGACCGGCCGGACGGGCGTGTGGACAGGGGTCGCCCGGGGAGGGGGCCACCCCGCCACTACATGCGACGGATTGTGTGCAGCCAGTATAGGTGCAAACAGAGCAAGGGCTTCCTAATCGGAGCCCCTGACCCCTCGTGTGTTCCTTGTTACTGCCATTCAGGTAGTGATATACCTAATTTTAGACCCCCACTAAATACCTTGTGTATTGCATTATCTCACTTCAGGCAACATGGTGGAAAGAATGCTTCTGTCTGCCCACCTTTGGTTAGCAGGTGGACAGAGGCTCAGAGGCAAGAAGGCACTTAGCCAAGACACGGTTCCCCAGCCAGTGAAGGGCTGAAATGGCAAAATATCCTTTTGCTGTAGTAGCCATTACGAAGGTTATACTGTATACGTGCTGGGCATGGCGGGGAGTAATTGTTAGGGAGTTTCGGTTTTTGTTTTTCAGCACAGTCCAAGTGCTTTGAGGAGCATCGAGGGGTCCCTCAGCTTCACCTCAGTTGCACCAGCAAGAAAGGTGCTTCTGGGCACAGTTCATTCAGACTCTGTTGGTAGCTGTTTGTCTTGTATTCTCACACTATGACTAGTTAGAAAGATTTCAATTTGAGTTTGTTTACAGTCTCATGATTAGACTGCTGAACTTTTACCAAAAAACCGGGTGACGCTGACTTTCCATCCTAGCTTTAGGGCATCTCAGTTATCTTTAGGATTGTTGTCAAGCAGTTTAAGTTAGTTACGGTTCATATTTGGCACCAAGAAAGTGGTATCACAGAAAGTTGTAGGAAGCAAATAATTTTAGAAAACAGCCCAGACTTAAGAAATCTAATTCTCCAGTCAGCCTCAGCCACACTTGAAGGAAACAAAGAAACAGGTTTGACCTGTTCTTCCAGACTCAGAATTGTTATGAAGACAGAGATACTTAATAGGGTAAATTTAAAGTCAACTGTTGTCAAGGCCTTTTTATCCTTTAGAATTTATGTTCATAAAAATATTTCTGTGGTCACTCCAAACGGTGTACGTTAGTAAGCCAACTGGACCTGATTCACTGAATTACTAGGAAATATGATGGACCCTCCTTTGGCCCTTGTGCTAACAGAAGATGGTCATCTTGGGTGGATGGGACAGGTGCTCGTGAGCATTGTGGATTTTATTTTGCATTCATACAGTTCTGGTTAAAAAGTGATAATGCTGTAGTTCTCAACACTGATTTTCACCCCTCCCAAAGGGTTTTAGAGAGCAATCGAGAAGGATTTGACTTGTCTTTTGGTTGTTGGGTTGAATATTTGGCTAAAGAAAAATGATCTCTTTTGCCTTGAAATGGCAGGATTTTGGTACAGTGGCATCTTCTGGCCTGGCTTACCCATTACTGACCAGGGCATTTTCACAGGGCTTTCTCTCGGCCTCAGTTTCCTTGGATGTATAAGAAAGATAAATTGGCCAGTAATGAGAAGAGTGGACCAAGAAGCCTTTACTTCATCGGACATTTAGTGAGTGTCTCATTCTGTGACACTCGGTTCGAGGTGATTGAGGGTGGGGATGCAACGTGAAAACACGTGGGTCCTGCCGCTAAGCCACAGTCTGTACCTGCACACGAAGTGTAGTGAAGGGTAGGGGGTGGTCCTTAGAGATGTTTTGTGTAGGACTAGGTGCTTAGTATAAAGTGATGGTATCTGATAAAGCCAAAACATTGGAAGGAACCCAGAAGAGCCATCGAGTCACTGCTAGGTTTGGATTCTACTTCTACTATTTCTGGACTTTAGAAAGCAACTGTGTTTCTCGTTCTGGGGAATCTGAAGGAGTGACCATTCTCAGGTTTCTTGTGTTGCTCAGTCATGTTGTTATGCTAGATATGTTCAGGTTTGAAACCAGTGCAGGGCAAGTGTTTTTATGACTGCATAGATGCTCCTCCGTGCCATCCTTACATCTGAGAACCTAGTTCCTTTCAGGCAGCTCGTCAGGGAGTGCTGGGAATTCGGGGTGTGGACGGGCCTTTGGAAAGTCAAGTGGGCTGGGGCAAGGAGTGTTATCCCAGTGCTCTGGCCGGGCTGTGAGTCAGGGTGGACGCAAGACTGTGGCCGTGTTGCCAGAACAGACCACAGCTCACGAGGAAAGCCTTCTGGAGCAGAGGGGTCAGCTGGTTGTAGTGATCTTTTAGCAAGCCTAGTAGTGCGTTTTCTTGGCTGTAGGTTTACAGCCATTCTGTTTTGAGTTTTAGCCATGGTTTGGAAGGTGAGAAAGTATTTGGATTGGTGATAATTAATACTCTCTTTACATCTTGCGGTCTAAGCATCTAAATATATCAGCTAAGGAGGCACTTACAGCTATTCATTAAAGTTACTTGAATCATTTTATTAAAGAAAAAGTAAAACTTTAGGAGTGTTATTAGAGATAAAGCCGATTTACTATGTGGACTGAGTCAGCTTTCAGTCTTCATTTGAACCTGTGACATGTCTAGTTTTTCTTGCTGCTGATATGATGCTTATATCTACAAAGATCTTTTAATTTTTGAGAAAAGGTTTGCTTCTATCATTTGTTCACACATTGGGCTCTCCAGACACATTCCAGTTCTCTCACCGCTGAGCTGGTTTAAATATTAAAGTGAAATATGCAACACAGGAAGTACACAGCAAGTGTTTCAAGAAAGGCCATTTAAAACGTATACATTCAGAGACCATTCAAAATGATCGAATTATTTAAAAATCCCACTTTGAACCCATTGTAAGGTATGTCGTGTGTTTAGAATGCCACTCTAGTTACTTAATTGAGTATCAGAAATAGGATTGGAAAACTAAATTGGGAATAATGTCAATCTGTCAGCCTTGAATATGACAGTGGAAGGCAACAAATGGGAGGGTGCTTTTCCAGTTTGAGAGAAGAGGCCTGATACACTTACAGGAAGATTGAAGTGAAGTATGTATAGTTTATTGAGCAAAAATGGTTTTAAAAAAAATTTCTGAAAGTTCAAGTAGAGGAGTCAGTCTTGTCTGATACATTTCAGAAACAAGCCTGTTATATACAGCATGTGTTAGTGTTGTAATTTCTAAACATCATCTGTTAGCAGAAATAAAATAATGAAACTCCCAGATAAAAATCTATAACATTCACATTAAGTCAACTTGGGTAAGTGTTTTTGTTAATGGAGCATTTTGTTTAAGTCTCTGTTCCTTATATATACAAATGGATATTCATGTTTCTGAATGGTTTTGTTTTCTTTTGCAGTTTTAGGAAGAGCATTTTCACTGCATCAAGCACACTCGATGAAGGATATGGGAGACACTCTTCAGCTGGTGAGAAATATCATCCCTCCTCTGTCCACCAAGAAGCACAAGGGCCAGGACGGAAGAATAGGCATCGTTGGAGGCTGCCAAGAGTGAGTCACGCGGAGCGTGTCTGTATCTGAACGGTTTCTGTTACCTGGCTGTCTACCTGCTCATCAGTCGGCCAGCCGTCCCTCTGTCCGGTGTGCTTCAGTGATGAACTTCTTGACAGTGCGGGAAAAAGGCTGGACAGCCCTGATCGAGCAGCTCAGTGGTGTGTGTCGGTGTTAAGATTTTGCCTGTAGTGTGGGGAGACTCTATTTTTCTTATTTTATACTTCTTTGTATTGACCAGACTTCCTGCCATAAGCATGTAATTAAAATCAGGTCAGGGTAAAAACACTCGGCATCTGCTTGGTTTACTTTGTTAATTTAAAAGATTTTACTGGAAGTCACTTAAAAAATTTGACAGATCCTAGCTTCTTTCAAGGCCTGTTTTCCCTTCTGGTTTTACGTATTTTACTGCTGTGTTGTTTGGCACATAGACATTCATAATTGGTTCCTGTTGGTGAATGAGGCTGTCTTTGACTTGAATGTGTCCTCGATTACCATCCGAGTCTCTGCTTGCTTTGTGCATCCGTGTGCTGCCTCTTTCCCTGGCCCTGTATTTTCAGCGGTTTATCATGTAGTTCGGCATATTTATTGTGATAGTGTGGAGCTAGATGTTGTTTCTTAACCTGATACAAGAGTGCCTACTCTTTTTAAAAGGGAAATAAGCCTATTAACATTTAGAATCTGCCTGATGTACTTTCTAAGATTCAGTATGTTTGCTCTTTATTTTTCTCTGTGTTTCCATTTTTCCTTCCCTTTTCTGGGTACTTTCTATTAATTAATTTGGAGATTGTATTATACTTTCAAATTTAGCTAGTGGTCACTCTACCCTGATGAATTCAAAATGCCCCTTAGGGCCCCTTAGAGTGTCAGTGCCTGTGTGCCGCAAAGGTGGCAGACCGCCTCTCGCCCCTGCCTTGCCCGGTTTGGTGTCCTGCTTCCATGGTTAACAGTCGGTCTAAGAGTCCCTAGCAAACCCGACTGCTGCACGTGCCTGTGCTCTGCCGGGTCACTGCTGCTGTCTGGCCTGGCTGAGGGGTCTGCAGTCTGGATAGGAGCTTTCGGCCTCTTCCGGAATCTTCTTTGGGCAGAGGGCGCAGGTGGCCCACTGTGGGCCTGCACGTTCCCTGTGCCCTCCCGTGGCAGGTGGGGCAGGTGGACTGAGCTGTGCCTGGGCCAAGTCTGGGACCCGCAGGGAGCAGTAGTTCCTTTAGGTGACCTCTTGTTTCTGTTTGCACCTGGAATGTCTCATGAAGTTCAGTTTTGTTTATAAGTCATTTGTTCTTGCTTGGATGTTTGTAAAATTTGCTTATCTTTTAGAATTCTGCAGCCTCTCTAGGATGTGTCTGGGCTGTGCCTTACTCTCACGGATCGTACACAGAGTCGGTGAGCCTGCCTGTCTGTAGACACAGTTCCTTTGGGTGAGGCAAACCTCCTGCTCATTTCTCACTTCTCATCTTGTCTTTCCTCCTCCTGCTGCGTGTTGGACTCCTGGATCATCAGCTCAGTCACAGAGAGCTGCCTTTCTGCCTTTGGGTTCCTGGTCAAGGGACAGCCCTCCCCGCAACCCTGGGGATGGAAGCCGCACATGTGGCCCTTGCCAGGCGCTGTGGGGCAGAAGGAGCTGGGGCTCTGGCCCTTCAGCCCTCCAGAGAGTTGACGGATCCAGGGGTTCATCTCTGAGATCTCCTTCATTTCCTGCCTTGTATTTTGGGAAGTCTGCGTGGGAAGGATTGGCCATCAGGTCTTATGTTCAGACAAGTCTATGATAGTGTAGCATTCTAGGGCACAATTGTCTAACTTAAAATGTGTCACTTAGCTTTAGGGACTAACCTTTATAGTAGGAACATATTCTGGTTATAAAAATATTATCTGCTTGTCATAAACATGCACGCACTACAGAAATGCATGAAGTGAAAGCCCCACAATGCAGTAGGGACATCGCAGCCTTCCAGACTTTTCTGTGCATGTAACTTTTTTTCAAAGCTGTGACTTGTCATACTATTGTGTGCCAGTCTCAGCCTCTCAGTGACCAGTGTTGTGGCTCTTATGACTCTTAGACGATTGCAAGACACTCTTCAGCAACAACCATCAGGGTACTTTGAGAAAATAAAGGTTTATTACTTACAGTACCTGGAAATTACAAAGCACACCTGAGGCCGCACAGTGAGGTCCCAGGCAGAGAGGGAGACATCACGGGTGGGGGTTCTGCTTTTACTGAGGCTGATGAGGGTGGGGGCCTAGGGTTTCTCGGCTCACTCTTTATTGGGGAATGTAAAACATAAGAGCAGGAATTTAAAGTGTGGGAGTAGAAAAGACATGTGGCTCAAAAGATCCGTTAGGAGAGTCAACCGAGACCTCGAGAGCCACAGGGCCTCAGGGGAAAGGGGCCCGGCCCTTCACCTGATCATGTGTCTGGCGGTGTGTTCATCCGGGTAGGACCGCTGTCTGAGCCTTGGCAGTCAAAGCTTGACTTGGGCACTTAAATTGCAAAAAGGAGAAAAACTGTTAGGTTTCACATTGTAACTGTGTATATGTACTGTTTGGTGATCTGAGCTTTTCACTTAATGCTATATCACAGATACTGATTCACATAGACCAATTCTTTGTACGTGGATGTATGATACTCATTGTAAAGGTGGGCCATAATTTATTGAGCCAATTCCCTATCGTAGGCAGTTGGTCACCCCTCTTCTTTTTCTAAGTAACCATAACGGCTGTATCTCTGCTCATTTCTCTCTTTGTGCACCCATCTGATTATTTCTAGGGGATCAATTCCTGGAAGGATTTTTCCTGGAGCAGAGTACATAGGCGTCTTACATGTTTTGATCGTTGCTAAGGGTTCCCCCACCAGACCACCCTCGTGTGCACTGCCACCAGCAGGCACTGCGCCCTATGGGCAGCCTTTGCTTGCCAAGCAGCAAGCAGGCAAGCCATTTGTCTTTGTTTTAATGCATTTCCTTTGTCAGTGAGGCTTGTGTTCACTGTTGCAGGAGAATGTCACGTATTCTGTCCTTTGGCATTTCCGGCCCTTTGGTGGCCCCGCTGTGGGGAGAGTCACACTGCAGAGGGCGCTCACGTGCTTTGGCCAGTTTGTTCCTCCTGGCTCGGGGTTGCTGCCCTGCCTGGGGTCGGTGGGTACAAGACGGCCCCTCATCTAGTGACCAGTTCAACGATTTTCCTTTCTGTGCCTGCGGCAATGTTAGAAATAGAGTCAGAGGCATTCTGGAGCAAGTGGGCGGAAGCCAGAGGGCAGTGTGGGAGGCTCTTCTCATCTGTCCCAGGTGGCCGCAGATCCAGGCTGACATGCCTGGGCGGACTCGTGCTGTCCCGAGCCTTCCGTTTGAGCGTGGCAGTGTGGAGAGACTGCCGGCTCTGGCCCCATCCACGGGTCACTCGCTGCCTGGAGGCGCTGGGCCCGTGCTGTGCGACTTAGCCATCAGCCCGAGGCGCTTGCCTTATTCTTAGAGGTTCTGACTGTAAGTATCTTTTTTAGGTACACTGGAGCCCCTTATTTTGCAGCAATCTCAGCTCTCAGAGTGGTATGTTTACTCACAGCTTCTTTATGGGGATTTTTCAAGTAAAGAGTGGGATTTGTTAAATATGATTGAGAGAAAATGTTTTCTGGTAGAAATCTAACATCCTAGGGTACTTGTGGGTAAGATAATTACCTTTAAGTGGATCCTGACCTCCTGTGCAATGACAGAATAACTGGAACCGAAGCTATTTTTCTAAAACTGAAGTTGCCTCAGAATCATACTTGACCAGAGTGATCCGGGGAGAACTTTTCAGTCCCCGAGTAAACAGCGGCCCCTCCCTCAGCCTTCCCAGTTACTGTGCCTTTTGACGGAGTCCTGATGCCCTGCTCGCCCGGTTAACACGAAATGTGAGGGCTCCTGCAGACCCGGGTGAACAGCCTGAGCTGCCCTGGGTCGGCCTGCCTCTCAGGCGGCGGCAGAGGCCTGCCTTTCCTTCCTGGCCTTCACTTGGGGTCCATTCCCTCCCCAGCCTCTCACCGCCCAGCCGTTCTGGTTGGACGGATGATTGTCTTTCATGGGCCCTGCTGAGGCATTTGAATGGTGGAGCGCCATGTGTCCTGAGCGAGGGCCCCGTGCTGCAGCCGTCTCACATGTCTGCTGAGAGGTACCCCGCTGAGTCGGCCCCTGTGCTTGTTCCAGGGTGCGGATTTATCCCATGTGTTCTGTACCCGCGAGGCTGCACCCGTGATCAAGTCGTACAGCCCGGAGCTGATCGTTCACCCAGTCCTGTGAGTGGGGTTCACCCAGTCCTGTGCGTGGGGGGCAGGGCTCCACACAGCAGCACTACCCCATCTGTGGCACTGTCACGGGCTCAGGTCCTCTGTGGGTTGCACTGGGCTGGGAGCTGGCAGGGCGGCGCTGTAGAAGCAAGAAGACTAATGAACCCCGTCTGTGGTAAGCAGACCGACAGCTCTGCAGGCAGCATGGGACAAGATCTGGGCCACCGGCACGACTGCCCCAGGCTGCCCTGCGGCCTGTCTGACTGGCAGGAGGACCCTGGGGCAGGTCTGGGGCCTGGGGCAGGAATAGCCCCTGTAATGCAGCAACCAGGCTGTCCACTCCTGTGGCAGACCCTGCCCTGGGTTCCACGGGGCCGCATGCTGAATGGACTGAAACCCTGCTGCATAGCGTTCTCGCCAGGGCAGCCCCGTGGCCCACAACTGTCTACAGTGATGAAGCGTTTTCTCGTGCTGTTCAGGACTGGCCGCTGAGCACACGAGCCTCCTGAGCCTTTGAGATGTGGCCTGTTGCACTCCAGAGCGGAGTTTTTGCTTTCTTGTATTTAAATAGGCACATGTGGCTGGTGTACCATGAGGGGCACATAGCTGTGGAGACAGACGATGTGTCAGAGGGTGGTAAGGCCCACAGGGACAACGGGAGCAGGGAAGGGGGCGGGATGCAGACTGTGCATGTGGCGCGTGTGTGCAGTTTTGCCAGTGGGACCGTGGCAGAGGAGCTGGCACGAGACCTTAGGCTGTGGGGGGGCACCTGGCGGCACAGGGTGGGGCAAGTGAGCAGAGGTTGGGGCCAAGCCTCGCGGGTGGTGGGTGTCGCTGTCAGGGTCTTGACTCACACGTGGGTGACCAGGGAGGACGGGACCAACTCATGCTTCAGAGCGCCTCTGGCTGCTGCGTCGAGAATACACTCCTGGGGCCCAGGGAGGGATGGGTTCCCCTGGGAGGTGGTTGTAAGGGTCCTGGTGGCGAACGTGATGGGGAGAAACGGGAGAGGGGGTCAGATTCCAGCTGCGTTTGGAAAGGACAGCCCCAGGGTCTGCTGACAGTGGTGACATGTATGGGTACAAGGAAAAGGCAGGAGTCGTGAAGGGCACCCAGGGTTTGCTCCAGCACATGGTCCGTTACCAGGGGGGGAAGCGGAGGAGCAGGGGCCGGGTTTGGGGTGTGTCTTTAGTTGCCTGTTGGACGTCCAGCAGGACACTGCTGGCGGCCACGGGTGGGGGTCGGGGGTGAGGGAAGCTGTACATCCTGGAGTTGTTACTGTGTGGACAGTGTTTAAAGCCAGGAGACAAGGAGGAGGTCCCCCAGGAGTGCATGCAGGCAGGGAAGGCCTGGCATGCAGGCCGTGGGAGCAGGTGGCGGGAGAGGCCAGGAGGGTGCCCTGGACCAAGTGAAGAACAGTTTGCAGCCTGTTCCAGAAGGGCCTATGTCCCTGCAGTCTGCAGACATGGAATGGGGACTAGGAATGGGTGGGTGCTTGGGTCTCAGCATGGGGTGTGGTGACCTCAAAAAGGGTGCCTGAGGGGGGCTTGGGGCAGAGCCTTGGCAGGTGTGTTCTGGGAGCCTAAGGGGCCACATGGTGAGCAGCAATGTGTGAGAAATGACCTGGTCCTGTGGAGCCGTCAGGACTTGTGAACAAGGCCCTTGTGTTGTGAAGGGGTCCCCGTGGGGGGGGAGGCGGGGGCGTCTGCAAGTGTATAAAGTACTCCTGTGGGATGGAAACAGAGTGGCTTATTGTAGAGGGCAAAGATAATTTTGAAATTAGTCACGATGTCATGTTCTCACTTAGTTTAGATATTGAAAGCTAGACACCTGCCCTGGGGCCTTAGAAGATGAGGCCGCTGCAGAGAATGCAGGGTGGGGTCCTGGGGCTGGAGCTCGAAGGGAACATTGCAGGAAGCCCTGGAGAAATTCAGAAAAAGCTGTAGTTTCACTACTGCACTTACCAAGTAAGTGGAAGTTTTAAGTAACTGTTCTGCCCTTCTGTCCTTATTTAGGGACAGCCCTGACGCCGTTCATGACGTGGAGAAGTGGTTGCCCCGCCTGCATGCGCTGGTCGTGGGACCTGGCCTAGGTAGAGACGGCGCTCTTCTTGATAACGTCAAGGTAATATTTGGAATTACTAAGTGCACCTCTTCTGGGACTCGACTCTTAGATCTTGTGACATCGGAAGTATTTTTCTTGGATTTTTTTGTTTAGTGTTCTCTGTGAAATGGAATAATAAAGATGGATAAACTTAACTGGGGACAGAGGAGGAACTAGGCATGAAGATAGCATTAATGAGCCTAGGAACAAAACAAAACCAGACAGAACATGTCTCTCTTGGGGCACTGGCTGTCTCATCCTGTGGCAGGAGGCGGGGGTCACTGTGGGGTCATCAATCTTTCTTAGGTGTCACCCTGACTTTCAGGTACTTTACTCCCAACATAGCAGGAAATCCCTGTGTCCGGGCTGAGCAGTGTTAGCACTGCGCCAGGGTTGGGGTCAGGCTTGAGTTCACCTCCCAGTGTGCCCTTCCTGCTAGGGGCCATGGCAGCTTAGCCTCCTGGGCCCCCCGCCTTCCCCATGAAGGGGGCGCCTGTGTCCCCGGGGCTGCCAGGGGCCACACACTCTGCACGGTGCTGTTAGGCCCAGTACACAAGATGGGCAGGGAGAGCTGACATCATCATCACAGAGGGAGAGGACGTATCTGAGAGCAGTTCTAGCAACTTTGTTTTCATTGTAAGTTGTACATTTAGATTAAAAACCCGAAAGGTATTCTCTCACGTGTAGCTTTGTGTTGTCGGCCAGGTTCTCTTGAAAGCTCTGCTTGACTGTTTCTTAACCCGCTACCTCTCCAGCCTTCTTGAGGTTTTCACTGGGTCTGGAAAACCCTGGGCCTGAACTCCTTGGCCTGCTGGTTTGCAGTTTTGACCTCTGTTCTGTTCCCCGCCATCCTACTCGGATAAACGGGCTTGTGGCGATGCGGGACGGGCAGGAGGCCAGAGTGTGTCCACACACACAGATGTTCATGTACATTGTCACTGGTCATTTATGCTGTTCTTTATTACCAAAAATTCATCTTATGCCTGCGTTATCGAGAGATGAAAATAATCTGTTATCTTTAAGGAGTTGAAATAGAATAACCACCACCCCGGAGCAGTGAAAATGAAAAGGTCCTGTGACGTGCTGGCCCCACATGCTGCCCCTTTCTGAGGGCTGGTGGGAGCACATGTATCCTCCGGAACCATGGGGCTGAGTGTGCCGCAGACACGCCACGGGCCGCACTGCCGTGTGGAGTCAACACGTCCAGCTCGGAGGCAGAGAGGAGCACCAGGGGCCGTGGGGCCAGCGTTCAGGGAAGTCAGGATGTGGGGCAGGGGCTACATACAGGCTTCCAGGTCTCAGGACGGCTGTGCTCGGAGGGGCAGTGGGTGGCGCGGTGGCCGGTCAGTGGTGCTGTGTCATCCACCTGACACTGGCCGCAAGCGGGCAGCTCTTGGGTTCTCGGCTGTGTGAGGTGATGCATAGGCTCAGCAGTTTGAGCGTGGTGGTGATTCACGTCGTGCACATAGGTCAGGACACAAGCTACACACCTAAGTGCACACAATTTTTATTTGTCAACTGTGCCTCAGTAAAACGGGGAAATTTAAACACCCTGAGTTGTGCCTGGGTGTTCATTCAGGGAACTGGGGATGCCTGCACGTCTCCCCTCTGTTTGGAAGATGGAAATTGCTGAAACAAGGAAAGGAGTCCAGTGTGTAGCACCGGAAGCCAGCCGCGTCAGGGGTGCTGGGAGCTGAGAGTTCTGAGACTCCCTCGGCTCTGGAACGAGCTAGACAGTGGCCACCAGGGGCTCGGTGCTACTCACTCCTGGACTGGGAGCTGGGAGCTGGGAGGCAGGACTGCTGAGTGACCAGTGGTCATGCTGGGGTGGGGCCATCTGAGAGTGGGCACGCGGCCTGCCAGGACAGGAACTCTGATGGCACGCTGCACGGCAGAGGCCTTGGGGTGCTCTTGGTCCACAGCCACCAGGGACTAGTGGGGGGCTGGTGGCACCACCCCATCTTTAAAAGCAGTCATACCCTAGGAGTGAGTGCTAGGCCCTTGGGTTCCTCTGAGGGGGAGACCTGGCACTGGGATGCCCATGTATAAATCGTGCTCTGCTGTGCCCTGTGTCCCAAGTAGGGGCTCTCCGCGGGGGCTGAGCCCCAGGGGTGGGATACGGCTGCTGGGCCTCTGCTGGATGGCTTGTCCTCCGGGAGGCACATGAGGGCCCCTGCCGGCAAGCACCAGGGTGTCAGGTCCCTTCGTGGGCCTCATGACGGGGTGTGTGACCTTCTGTGATCTGCCAGTTACGCTCTGGCCCCGTTTGGTCATGACTGAGTGAGCTCATGCCACAGTCCTGTCTGCCTTTTATCCTCATCCTTTAGTGCCCTGCTGCCCTCGGTTCCCAAGTCGTGGCGGCCTTTCTTACAGGTCTCCTTATACTTTCTGTTGGCGTCCGTCTGTTTGACTTCGGTGTGACCTCACAATCCAGAGGTGCTTCCCTGGCCGGCAGGTCGGGCTGTAGGCTGACCGCCATCTGCTGGTGGGACCGCACTGTGGAGGTGGAGATGCCACATGATACAGTCTGAACCTCACATTCCCCCAAATTCCCGTTGGAGTGCTGGCCCCCAAGGTGATGGCTTTGGGAGGTGCTGAAGTCGTGAGGGTGGAGCCCTCCTAAAGGGATTCCTGCCCTTACAAACAAGACCCCAGAGAGGCCCCTCGGTCTTTGCACCGTGTAAGGACACAGCAAGGTCTGCGACCAGGCAGAAGCCCCACCTGCACGGCGATCCTGCCTCCAGAACTTTGAGCACTAATTCCCAGCTGTTTGTGAGAGCGGCCTGAATGGCTTGGGAAGCATGGTCTGACCATGATCTACTTCAGGGAGCCGTTTGTTAGTGTGTTTTCTGAACAAAACATGGAAAGTTTCCCTCGTGCCTACAGCCTGGGGCTTAGCTGCTCGTGCCTCCTGATGTGAGGCTCCTGCCCGGCCCCTCCCGCCATCCCGACGGTCCTGTCCTGGCTTGGCCTCCTGTGCTGCTCCACCTGAGCTGTGTCAGGAGTTGTTCAACTCTAGGCGGGCACTTCACTCTTAACCACGGTCTTCCCTGGTATTTGTGAGCATTTCCGCATAGATGATTCATTCCTTAATGAAGGATTTAATGCACAGAGAAAATTTAAGATCAAGAATTAAGAATGAAGAACTTGTTTTGGAAACAGTTTAAACAAATGGGAAATGTACTCGGATTTTATCAGAATTGCTCATACGCATTCTTCTCCTGTGGGACAAAATGTGTGCTAGGGCCATGAGCACTGGCCTGGAGCAGTGGCTAGTGAGGGGACCCGAGACAGGCTGTGCCACTCCCCTGGCCCTGGCCTCGTCTGTGTTCTCAGTCTCACAGTCCACTGCGGGGTCACTGTGCCGAGGAGAACCCGAGACACTTGCTCACGCTGCGCGTTCTGTATGCTGGGCACTTGTCCAAGCGCCCACTTGGTTCCCACTGCAGCCCTCTCAGTAGGGACTGGTGTTACTTCCATTTTCCAAATGAAGGAGCTCACACAGACGGATGCTGTCCCTGCAGACACTAGATGCCTGCAGCCCCCCAGGTAGGACACCAAGTGCTAGCATTGGTCCTCTCGGTACTTGCGCACTGAGAAACGAATGAGATTGTGCATGTCAGAGCATCTACTGCAGCCAAGTTAACAGTGTACTTATTTTAATTCTGCTGCCATGTGCTGTGTGTGTGGGGACACACCCCATACTGGCAAGAGTATATGAGTGGGTTTGCCTGGTGTTTGTCCCCTTACTCTTGTGAGGCTCTGAACCTTGGGAATTTCCCAAGTGATTGGAATGTCTTATTTGTGGCAGGCCTCTAGGACCACACCTGAGTTTATGCTAAAGAGTTGACTCGGGGTGGGGCCATCCACCCCAAGGGACATGAGGTCAGAGTGTTGCCGCCACCATGTTCAGAGGGAGGGGGCTGCAGATTGAGTCCAATCTTGTGGCCACTGATTCAGTTACTGGAACACAGAACCCAGTGAGGTCGAGGGAGCTTCCTGGTTGGTGGCACATGGATGTGCCTTAGGGGGACGTGTCCTGACTCTTAGGAGGAACCTGGGTAGCTCCCCAGGGGTCCTCCTCAGACCTCACCCCTTTGTGTCTATTTGGCTGTTTCTGATTTGTGTCCTTTATGAATTGTAATCACGGGTATTCCCTGTGTTCCATGAGTCCTAGCAAATCATCAGACCTGAGGGGGTGGTGGGAACCCTCACATTTGTATCCGGTTGGTCAGAAGCGCAGGTGGCCTGAGAACCCTGACCTTGCAGTTGTGTGAAGGGAGGTTAGTCGCGTGGGGTCTCCCTTTGAAAGCCAACTGTCTCCAGGTGGTCAGCGGGCCTGTCCTGGACCTTTCACAGTATGGGTCCCATGGCACTCTGGGACTGGCTGTGCTCACTCAGCAGGAATTTAAGGCCATGTGTGTCGTAGTGTGTCAGCTCTCCTCCCTGTGTGATGTGCCCCTGTGAGGGTGGCTGCATTTTGTTTCTCTAGGCTGTCAGCTGGTAGGCAGTGGGGGTGTTTCCATAATGGGGGGCCATTATGAGTAGCACTGCTGTGAACATTTTTTACAAGATTTTGTGATGACTCACATTTTGAGGAATCCCCAGTATTTTCTGTAGCAGGAGCACCATCTTATATTCCCATCAGCAGTGGGCAGACATCCTAATTTCCCCACGTCCTCCTACACCTCTCCTGTCTGTCTGTCTGTCTAATCATAGCCGTCCCCATAGCTGAGAAGTGGTACCTCATGGTGAGTGTGTTTTCCCATGTGATTTGGATTATCCTTGATGGCTAATGATGTTGGGCATTTCTTCATGTGCTTATTGCCATTTGTGGATCTTCTTTGAAGAAGTGTCTGTTCATATTCTTTCCTCATTTAAAGCATATCTTGTCACTGAGCTTTAGAATCTTTATATATATACTCTAATACTAAAGTTCCTTATCAGAGATGGAAATTGCAAATATTTTCCCTCCTGTGGGTTGTCTTTTCATTTCCTTGCTAGGATTGTTTGCAGCACAGATTTTTCACTTTGATGAAGTCCAAGTTAATCTGTCTGTCTTTTGTCTCTCATACTTATGGTGTCTTACCTGAGAGGGTTTTGCCTGGCTAAGGTTTGCTCCTGTATTATCTTCTAAGAGCATTATTGTTTCAGCTTTTCTGTTTAGATCTGTGGTCCATTTTAATTTCTATGTATGATGGAAGGAAGGGTCCAGCTTCATTTTTTTGCAAGTGGATATCCAGTTGTTCCTCCAGTGAATTGTCTGGGCATCCTTGGGTAAAGTCAGTTGTGGGCCCTCATTCTGTTCCCATTGGTCTGCACGGGTATCTGTATGTTAGGACCACACTGTCTTGATGCTCTAACTGCAGTGTTTGGAAATCTGAAGGTGTGAGCCCTCCAAGTTTGTACTTTTCAGGATTGTTTGGGCTATTCTGGTCCCTGTGCATTTCCACGGTAGTTTGAGGATCAGCCTGTCAGTTCGCAGCGGAGGCGACTGGGACCTGGGTGGGGCCCCGAGGACTGCTGCTGCCTCCACAAATACATTATTAAGTCTTGGAGTTCATAAGCTGGTTTTGAGCCTGTTTTCTGGATTTCGAGAGCATAGGCTCCCGACTCCCCCCCTCATGCTGTGCGTGCTCTTCCGCCTGTTAGTCACGGTGTGTCCTGGCGGAATACCAGATGTCCTCATCATGTTACCTGTGCAGCATAATATGCAATGATGTCTTCAGCCAGTTCCGCTGGTGCTTTACAGCTTTCTCCTACTATATTGGTGATTTCTTGAGCATTTCTGGGTATGTGTCCAGTTCTGGGTGTTTTTCTTAGAATACATTTCTACTAGTTCTGTTGCTGAGTCAGAACGCTGGGAGGGCTTGCCGTCCCCCCGGCAGGCTGCTGTCGCCCGGGCCGCTGGCCGCTCACCTCTGCCTGGCCTCTTGCACAGGAATGCTCCTTCTTACTGGGGGCGCCGTGCTGCTCCCCCACCGCCACCCAGCCCTTCTGATCTGTGTGTGGCCTGCTCACCCCTCTGCCATTCTTTGGGCTAGACGGCTCACGAGACGGAGGGTGAAGCTGCAGCTTCGGGGAGGAGTGGCAGAGACGCAGTCAGCCAGGGCCGCTGGGAGCTGCTGCCTGTGCGGCACGTACTTGGGGCTGCTGGCCGCTGACGTGTGCCGTCCTTGCATGTCCAGTGAGCTCTGGGGTTTCAGTGCACAGTGCACTTCGTACAGACCCTCTGCATCATGGAAGCGAAATCAGTCCTTAGTTGGTGACTGACGGGTGAGTCTGTGCTGTGCGCCTCATCGTGTCAGGGGACGCGAGCGTTCCAAGATGCTGCATCATTCAAATACTACCCAGTCGTGTGGACTTGCCTTCCCCAGGGTTTGCATACTTGCTTTAGGCTACTGGTCTCTTTAATAACTTTGTAGGAAAAGCACAAAGCAATGGAGATGTCGGTGTTGTGACCAAACATGAAACCAGAGATTGGATTATCTGAATTCGCAAAAGCCAAATCAGTTTTAGCAGTGAAGCCAAACTCAAGGCAAACAGAGCATTTTCATTGTAAAAGGAGACGAGTTTCCACGAGGCTCCTGTGCCCTGACCCTCCTCTGAGGGGCTTTTGGACCTGCTCCCAGTGACTGGGCCAGTGACAGCAGAGTACCACTGAGTCCAGGGGGCAAGGCAGCTCCTGCCTCCTGGGATTTAAAAGTGTCATTTTTCAGAACTTTTATTAAGTATGTGTGGATTTACCTTTCAGTGTTTTAAATTATTTCTGCTTACCATGTGTTTTGTTTTACTATTCTTTTCTTTTAATGTTTCCATTTGCTGATAACCTGGTGGTTACTGCATGGTTTTCTCTAACTGTGACAGGAAATGGGCTTTTTGCTCAGAGAAGCTTTCTTGTCTTGCAGGGCATTTTAGAAGCATCAAAGGCCAGGGACATCCCCATTGTCATCGACGCAGTGAGTGTGGCCTCTCCTCTCCTGCCCCCTGCTCACTGCGAGGCCCCTAAGCCCACGCAGTGACTGCATCCTTGTCTGTGCAGGATGGGCTGTGGCTGATTGCTCAGCAGCCGGCACTCATCCAAGGTTACCAGAAGGCCATTCTCACTCCCAACCACGCCGAGTTCAGCAGACTCTCTGACGCAGTGGTGAGTTCGTTGGGCACCCAAAAGACAGGGTGCAAGCCCTCCTCACCTGAGGGTAGGGACACGCTCCGTGGTTCTGCCCCCACCTGTCCCTGGTGCATCTGCACAGACAGACTTGATGCTTTCACATGTTTTTTCTTGGTGGTACCTGTAATGATGGGGCATCTCCCAGTTAGTGCATCTTTAATTGGGTTAAAGGTGGGGTAGTGGTCCAGTGTCAGCCAGCCTGTCCCACTGTGTGCTCCAGGCAGATCACTGCATCCCTGTCTTGCGTTGTCATGTCTGTAAAATAACTAATGTGGCATCTGCCTCCCAGGCTCTGTGAGGATGAAATCAAGTAATGTGTAAATCCACGAGTCCTTACAGGTCAAGTACCCATAAACCTTAGCTCATCATTGTTCTGAGTTGTGTCATCTCAGCAACTCTGGGAGGTGTTCCTTCCCTCTGGTCTGACGTGGTGGCACCAGTGCCGCCTGGTGAACTTGCTGCCTGGGTCTCCTGGGCCTCCTCCCGGATGGACGGACCATGCACCTTTGCATAGGCCAGAGCTCAGCTGTAGCGAGTGCCCAGGGGATTCCCTTAGACAGCAGTCTGAGGATCAGAGCAGATGGAGCAGGGGGTTGGCTGTGTCCTCCTCTGTAGGCCCCTCTCACCTGCTAATGATTCTGCTTGTGGCGCCCCATGTTGCAGCTGGGAGATGCCATGGACAGCAGCAGCGATCACCCCCGAGCTGAGCTGAGCCTCAGCCAGGCCCTGGGCAATGTGACCGTGGTACACAAGGGGGAACGGGACGTGATCTCCGATGGCAAACAGGGTGAGCCCGTGGCTGCTGTTGTATGTCAGCCAGGTGGCCGTGCAGGCTCAGCTGCAGGACGCCCCCCCCACTCACACCTGGCGTGATGTTCACTTGGGGCACACCTGTCTGCACACACCCCATGGTTTCCTGATGAGAGGGCCATGCACAGCTGCCTCTGAGCCCATTTTCATTCCTCACTGGTTGGCGGGGAGTGGGGGGGAGGGGCGTGTGACAGTGCTGAGTGTGGGTCCTGGCTGACACCAGGTGCTGGGACTCAAGTTCTGTTGGGTTCAGAGGAAGCCCAGTGGGAAGGCAGCTGTGACAGCAGGCAGTGCTCCGGGCTCCCCGACCTGCCACCTGTGTCACCTGTGGCAACAAGCAGCAGTTAACTTGAGTATTTCACTGTGTTTTGTTGTTTTACAATGACTGGGAGGGAAAGAAACCCTAGGAGCTGACACGTGTGGTGGGAAGCACCAGGCGCTGGGTGTGGTGACCCTCCCAGGCCGCCCCTTCCACAGGCCTGGGGACTGCACAACGGGGGGGCCAGGGCCCAGAAGGCAGCGTCCACGCACATCCGCACGGTGAGGCACACGGCCAGGGATCACCTGGAACATCTAGCTGCCTGGACAAATCCTCACATTACCAAAATCTGATTAGGAGGCAAAAAGTGTGCCAGTTCCTTGAACCGACATTAGCATGAAGACGTGTTGCCTTGGTGCAGAGGTCTGCACAGGTCACAGAAATCGGCGAAGGGAGGCGCGCCTGGGGTGGGGGTGGGGGTGGGGGTGGGGGTGGGGTGGTGTGTGCGTGCGCGTGTGCGCGCGCGCGCTCGCTCCATGTCACGACTCTGGATGGGAAACGGAGAGAGAGCTCTCCGGGGGACCCTGAAGCCTCCGGTTCCTTTGTCACTGGAAGGTGCTCTAGACTAGCACATTTAGAGTGAGAAAACCCATTTTCAGGACACTTTCCAAAGAAGTAGAAACTTACCATAACACAGCATAAATGAAATCGTTAAGTTACTGGCCCAGCCAGCCCGGGGGTCACTAGGCCTGTGCACGTGTCCTTAAGAGAGTGAGTGTCCTGGGGCCTTGGGGCCCGCGGACCGAGAGTGTGCCCGCGTGCCCGCCCTTCTCCGTCCCGGCCCGCAGGTCCCTCAGCAGCTCTGTGGGAGGTCTCTGCTGACCACCTGTGCTGAACACGGGGGTTGGGCTGCCCGCCCTGGTTCCCTCCCCTGTAAAAGCGGCTGGCTTGGCACTGCCTCTGCCCTGACGCCGTCCACCCTGTGCTCTGCAGTGCTCGAGTGCGGCCGCGGAGGCAGTAGCCGCAGGTGTGGTGGGCAAGGAGACCTCCTGTCAGGCTCCCTGGGCGTCCTGGCGCACTGGGCCCTCCGTGCTGGACCACAGAAGACAAACGGGTATGGCGCGTCTTCACTGTCTTGTTCTGAAATTGAGCCGTGTGAGCTGTCCTGGCTATTCTAGCTCACACATTTACTGCACAGCCACGTGGAACATTTCAAGTGCAGTACTGGTGTCAGGACGATAGACCCCGGGGAGAGATGACCCGAACGGAGTGTTGGAGGGAAGTTCTCTGCACATCTGTCGGTGCCAGTGGGCTCTGGGCATGGGCAGCGTACAAAGTCCTTAGCTGATTCTGTGTGCAGCCCCGCTCGAGAGCTGTTCTAGGCAGCCTCGTAAGGTGGCCCTGGGGTAGAAGCTTGCAGGGTGGAGGTAGCGCTCCCCTCACGTACGGTCCCCAAAAAAGTGAACTTGCCCCAGGAGGCCGCAGGCCTGTGAGCTGCAGGCTTCTGCCATCAGCTTGGTGAGGGAGCCCAGGCAGTTCCCACCCGTGGCCTGTGGTTCTTCTCTGCGTTCCAGGCAGCCATGATCGCTGCACCTGCCCAGGGGGAGGGCGCACCTGGTGGGCAGGAAGCAGCAGCCCCAATGGCCTGAGGGGCATGTGTGGTGTGAATGGAAGCTGTGCCAGTAGTGGGGGAACCTTCCTTCTCAGATTCTGAACGCCCCTCACATCTTGGTCACTGAAGAGCCCTTTCCAGCCAGCCTGTAAGTGCTGGTCTGGTCTCACCAGGGGAAACGCCGAGGCCTAGCCTCTCCCCAGAGGGGTAGGTGCCGAGGTGCCTTCTGTAAGGGGGCATCAGCCCCAGGGGTTCCTGGGCATTCTGGCTTCATCAAGCTGCCTCCTGCCCTAGGCGTATCAGACTGTGGAAATTGCCAGTTTGGGTCCCAGAGCAGAAGTTGGAGGGAAAACAAGTGCTTGTGGTGGCCGCGGGCTTCCGCCCGGCTGACCTCGGTCCCCTCTGCCCCCAGCCTCAGCCCTCTGCTGGTGGCGGCCTTCGGCGCGTGCTCCCTCACGAGGCAGTGCAGCCACCAGGCCTTCCAGAAGCACGGCCGCTCCACCACCACCACGGACATGGTCGCCGAGGTCGGGCCCGCGTTTAGCAGGCTCTTTGAAGCCTGAGCTCTGCAAAAAGAAGGCAGGCGGCAGGTGGGGAGCGCGCACCTGTCTGTGTCCTCGGCCCCGAGCAGCACCGGCTCCAGGGGGTTTGTGCCCCAGACGTAGCTTCACAGGGAGAATTTAGGAATGTGAAACGTGATGATTTTTAGGCTTAGTTAATAGGTGGCTGATGTAAAATGACACTAAATGAAGTATTCCTGAACTTCGCATCCCAGCGATAACAAGAAAATGAACAGATGATCACATGAGACTGAGTCTGTCCCTTGCTCAGCTGACTGTGGGTGGAGGGGGCTCCAGGCCCGCAGCGTCCTGCGACCTGCAAGCTCTTTCCTGATCATTCCACTGCACACGTCTGAGTCTCTGTAACCCATGCAGGCTCCCTGTACTGGATGCTCTTGCGAGTCCAGCAGTCAGTGTCTGATACGTGTGTGAATATGGGCCGTGCGGCTGTTAACTTGAGGTCCTAACGTGGTGGCATTCATCCCTTAGTTCACTTGTTTTTTAAACAGTGGTTAGGTCGAGACTGGCTGGGTGGACATACTGAGCCCTGGTGGCCTTGGTGGATATCCTTGCGCTGTGGGAATGGCAGAGCAGGAGGGGGCGGGGCACTCCTGCCACATCTGCGCACGTGGCCTGGCAGAGCTCGGGAGCTGCTGGTGCCCCCCGCCGGTGCACTCTCTTGGCAGAAAGGCCATGTTCGATGTTTAGAGGGCTTTGGGTGGCTGGTCTGGTGGGAGATGGCACCCAGGAGGCCTCAGGGGACTGAATGTTGTCATCATGCCTGTGTGGAGAGCAGGGCAGGGGACCCCCTGGTCTGAAAGTGGTGTATTAGTTCCATTAAAGAAGCCAGCATCTCGGAAACCGAATGCTTTTGTTCCGTTGTGTGTACTGATGCTCGTTTGGGAGGGGGTGGTCTGTGGCCCGAGAGTGAATCATTTTCTGTTGTCATTTCTCTGTGGATTTGGTTCTCAACACGCATTTGAGTGTTGTTTATCCATTTAATGATGTTTGTCTTCAACATAGTTTTATCTTTTTCTTAAACAGCCAGCACCCTCCTGTCAACTTTCCTGAATGAGAATGTTAGATACCAGGGAGGTAAAAATGTAAAGGCGAGTCTAATGTTAGGTTTTTAATCAAAATTACGAAGTGATCTGACGAATAAGTTTGAAATGTAGCCTTTTTTTCTCATAGAAAATAAAACAGCATAGAATTAAGTTTATTTTCCATAGGGACTGTTTTTAGGGATTTTACTACCAAGTTTTTGCCATGAATATTACAGTCCCTTTGCTTCATGGGAGGGAGTGTATCCCAGTGGGCAGGTCTAGCATTTTAAATGAACTTGGCAGTTTGTTCCTTACAGACCTGTGTGTAATGCTGGCTCCAGACACTTAGCCCAAAGACCCCAAGGTCCCAGGAAACTACAGCGTGGGAACCCCATCTGCGGGTCCGGCCTGCCCTTCCCACGTCTTCTGGGAACCCGGGACCCCCTTCACACTCACATCCTGGTCTCTGGCTCAGGGTTGGGTGGGTCTCCTGCCGTGTCGGGCCATCATGCTGGCCGGGGGCTGCACTTCAGCACTACGGGTATCCGTTCTGCACGTACAGTTCCCAGTTCAATTTATTTCACCGCTGACAACAGCCACAGAGGGGATCATCGCAACTTAGTGAGCAGGACTGCACGGTGAGCCTGTTGCTTCCCAGCCACGTGTCCTCAGCTCCCTGGTTTGTGATCTTCTGTCCCCGGAGTCATCAGGGCCCAGGTGGACGTGCTGCCCCTGTCCTGGGTGGGGAGGAAGGCCCTGGCTGAGCAGACTCACTCGGCTCAGGCAGTGAATGGGGAGGAGAGCCAGGGCTCTGCCAGGAGGCACTGCCACCCCATGAGGCTGCACTACAGACGCAGCTGCACACTCAGCAGCGGCCATGCCGACAGCTGCCTTTGCAGGCTGAAGGCTGGGGTTGGGGCCCCTTGGGGCCTGAGTGAGAACCTGGGTCTGCCATGCCCACCTCGGGCCTCCATGTCCCTCTGACTCCACCCTCCTACTCTGTCACAAGAGTGAGTTTGGCATAGAGCTTTGACTGCTGGTGTCTGCGCTGACTCACCCAGCGCCTCAGGTGACCGTCCTGTCACCCGGCCGCGGCGGCTCACCTTAATGCTGATGCCATGAGCAGCAAGGTCCTGGCGCAGGACATCACATGCCTCCAGCAGGGGCTGCCTCTCCAAGCGCTGCTGCTGCTGGGCCTCCCTGGTGGCCTCTCCTGTGGCCAGGGCAAACTGCCGGACCTTGACCCGGAACCGAACCAGCTCCTCCACCACACTGTGCAGAGTGGCTGAGCCACCGTCCCCTGAAACAGACTGCATCCAGGAGGGGTGGGTGACCGGTGAGGCCCTGGCTGATGGGGCCTAGAGAGTCCTGCGCCACGCCGAACCAGAACCTCTCTCCAGCTTAGGGGGTGTCCCTAGATCATGGCCCAGGGACAGCCAGGCATCTGGAGCCAGGCTACCACCCAGCAGGGAGACCCTTCTAGGTGCTAGACCACTGAGCTATCCTGGCAGGCCCTCCGAAGCAGTGCACAGCTGTGCCATACCCAAGCCCCATGGCACCAGAACCCAGCTTTGGCCACACAGGGATTGGGAAGAGCACACTTGCCTTCCCACTTGCCTGCAGCCCAGACCTTCTTCCCATGTTAACCTGTTTATGTAAAATGTTTTTTAAAATGTGTTTCAGCCCTTTCCTGTCCCTGTCCTGAATAGTCCTAAAGGTGTCGGGCACGGCAGAGCCCAGTAGGCCCCGTGGAGGAGGGGTCCAGCACGGGAGGAGGAGAAGGGCCCAGCCTGGGGTGTCGGAGCCCAAGTGTGTGTCCATGCAGAAGCCTGTTGCAGGGTGAGGTCGACTGGGCAGGGGTGGGAGGGTCGGAGCTCCAGCAAGTGAGGAGGGTGTCCGCACAGGAAGGACAGCGACAGTGGGAGGCTGGCTGCCGGGAGCCGCACCTCAGCGTCCCGGGGAAGGTGCTGGAGCCGCTTGTTGGAGTGTTGGCGGTACCCCTGGGTTTCAGTCTGCACAGTCCACACAGAAATAGACATGGTGCCTGTGTCCCTCCCAGCTCTGTCCACCGAGGGCCCAGAGCAGCGTGCCTGGATACGGTTCTCTGCTGAGAGCAGCCCGGCCCCTCGGAGAAGTGGCTGATTCCCAGCTTGGTGCAGAGACCGGACTGCTGGCTGCGCATGGGATGCTGAGGTGGACCCGTCACAGAGGCACGGCTGGGAGGACGGGGGGCCCAGGAGTCAGTGCTGGACAGAGGCCTTTCTGTAGGAGACACACCACGGGGCGTAGGCCGGTGGCTTACTCGGGCACCTCAGGAAAACGTTCTCTTACTGGACACCTGTCTGTGCATTTTGACCCTTTCAAGGTACACAACCCTGAGCGCGAGCAGAGGCGGACTGCTGCTGCTCTGCCCAGAGGCCCTGCCACTCCGCTCGGGGGACGAGGCACCAACTCCCGAGTGGGCCCATTTTATAAGGAACAAAGTGTATTTTAAGCTTGTGAATAAATCTAGCATTGTAATTACCCATTAAGTGAACATTTTAAAAGGGAAAAAAGTTATTGGACTAGCACGTAGATATAATCTCACAATTGAAGACCAGAAATGGGGTGTACCTGTGTGTCGCCCAGAGAAATTCCAATGCCAACGGTCTCAAAAAACTGTTCGATGTAGGACATGACAGAGCCAAACACAGCAGGACTCCTGGGACCACTGGGCTCCTGTGAGGAATAACCCCAAGAAGCCTCTTTAAAAGCAGAGGAAACTCAGTGAAAGAACAAAGACTCCATGGGCCATCTGCCTGTGGCTCTGCCACCAAATTAAGAAGTAAGGACACACACCCTGGTAGGGGACCCTGAGCTCAACCCTAGAGCTGCCCCTTGCTCACGGCCAGCACCTCAGTTCACCCTCTGCAGCGTGCGGATGGGCTAGGGTCTGACGCTCGCGTCCCAATTCGCATGCTGAAACCTGGCCCCCATGTGGCGCTGGTCCAGGCAGGCCTCTGGGAGGCCACTGGGCCATCAGGGCGGTGCCTCGTCAGTGGGCCTGGTGCTGAGGCCCAGGGGAGGTCCAGGCTGGGTGGGCAGTCGGGGCCCTCCTGCCTCACGCCTTGGCAACACAGATTCCACAGCTCCTCCGAGCAGGGTGATTAAGGCCCCAGCACTAGGGCCCTCTGTGCCGACCTCCCAGGACCCCACACAGACAGCGATGGCCTAGTGTGCCACTCTGGGAGGCAGCTGTCTCCTCCGCAGGACCGGCAGTTGGGCCGTATGAGGGTGAAGCGGCCCCAGGAGCTCAACATTGGTCAGGAGAGGCCCGGAAGCCACCAGCTGTGGGAGAGGAAGTCCCCCCAGGGACTCGGCAAGGTAGCGTCTGTTCCTCCTGAGGGAGGCCAAACAACCCTGTCTGGCCGCATCCCTGGAGTTACCTGAGTGGCCGCCTTCAGCTGCCTGTTCCCGTGGTGAATGAGGCCCATGACAGCATCCACCGCCCGAGCTGTGTCGAAGTCGTCTGCCAAGGCAGCCTGCACGACCCGCCTGGTGTGGCTGAGCCTGGGAGGCCAGGAGACATGTCACGCCCTCCCCGGACGCAGCCCTGGGGGTGTCTCCAGGACACAGCGTGCTCCTGAGCATGGGCAGTGGGAAGCTGGTTCTCTAGGTAACTGTTCACTGGGTCAGGCCGTCTGGGAGTCGCCTGGCACCCCTGAGGGAGGGAGCGGGCAGACCGTGCTTGAACAGTGTACACGTGGGCGTGCCACAACAGTTAGGAATTCAGCAGTGAGAAACTTAAGAGTTGAAGTGAGAATGCTGTATCCCTAACTGCGCCATGCTCTGCAGACATGCTGTCACGGGAAGGCTTGGCGGAAGGACAGGATGGCGTGGCCCTTCCACTGCCCGTACAAGCAGACAGGACACCCTGTCCCAGGACGAGAGCTCAGGCCACCCTCTGTGGCCTGACAGGTGGTTGTGAGGAGCACCCCAAAAGCCTGGAACATCCAAATGTGGGCAACCTCTGACACCCACTGTCTGCCACGACTATGCTTCACCCCACTTCCCTAGGATTCCCCCTTTTCTGGGGAAGGACTGGGCTCTGGCCACCATTTCACTGGGTGGGGCCCTGGGGCCAGTTCTGGCCATCTGGGTCACTGCTTGTCCCTCCAGCTCTCATCCACCTGCCCAGCACCCTGGGTGGTACAGCAGAGGCTACTCTCCAGCCAGGGACGCAGATAATGAGAACAGAAGCTGTCTTCTACACTGGTGGGTGAGGCATGCCTCCAGTCACCCAAGACAAAAACAAGAGGGAGTGCCCACACACACAGCTGCCGTCCTGACGGCTGCCCAGCCTTGCGGCAGCTCCCGGCCACACGAGATGCGCTGCTCCGCATGTGGGCTTGTCCGCGGGCCCCACAGCTGTAAGCAGCAGGCTCCACAGCAGCCCTGCCTTCTCTACACGCCCTCCCTCCTCAGACTGAGTCCAGAGTTCTTTATTCCTTGTAGGAATTACTGGGGGAGGGGGACATGGCCCATAAGGCTCCAAGCATGTGCAACCCAAGTGCACCACCAGCGTCTGGCGGACACCAGTCTACTGCATGCCTTCCCCCTGGTGTGGACAGTGAGCTCCCTGGCTCCCCGACTTCACACCATCTCTGATGTTTTCCAGCGTTTTTTAGATGTAACAAAACAAGGATAAGCATGTTTAACCTTCAGTGAAACAACAGAACTGGAAACCCACCTCCCCATTTAAGGTCAGGTGTGGTGGAGCACACCCCTCCCCGCCCGCTGCTCTAGGGCAGGTGCCTCCCTGTTGCAGCCTCCCGCCTCCTGTAGCCACACAGCCAGACCCAGGCTGGGGCCACAGCAGGTGGGGCTTTGACTGGCTTGTTAACTGCTGGTGTGAGCTTGGGCTTGATCAGCAAGACATGTTCCCTCTCTCCTCTCAACCGTCCAGCCTGCCCAGTATCCACAAGTCCATAACTGCTTGGTGGTGCTGACGAAAATCTCTGTCCCTTACAAACACAGCAGGCACCCTCCACAGCCACCCTGAAGGCAGGGCCTCGTCTTTCACCCAAGGGACCTCAGATCCACCAGGGGCCACAGAGCCTCAGGGGACCCCCTCTGACCAGCACTGTACGTGTGAGCTCAGCCTCCAGAAGCACTTCCCCATCAGGCAGCCCTGTGGGGCACAGTGGGGACCCTGGGGCGGCACTTACCTCTCCCATAGCGCGGCCTCCCCGATGGGGCGGCACACCAGCTGCCCCTTCATGTAGGCTCGAGCGTCCTCAGCAAACGCGGCCACAGCCAGGAGGAGGTGCTTCGCCTCGAGCAGGGTGCCATCACTGTAGTCAATGGCTGCGGGGAGAGGCGCTTATGCGGGGCCCTGGCGGCTGCACCCAGAAGAGCCAGCCCTTCCCATCTGCCAAGGGCCAGACGGGAGGTACACACAGCTGCCCCCCAGCCCACCCCATGCAGACCCCCTGGGTCTGTCCTGACTGGGGTCCCACCACCTTGGAAAAAACATGGGAACCCTTCCCGCTGTCTTTTGGTCAGAGGGGCTCGTTCCCACTGACACAAGGACAGGTGGCTGGGAAGTGGGAGACCCACCAGGTCCCTCCAGCACCTCCAAGGAGGTGGCCAACAGGCGCTAGGAGGACAGGCTCAACGTTCCAGGAGCGGGGCTGTCCTCGATGTGGGACGGGCCCATCTGGCCCCAGGCACCGCATCCAGGCCCCTTAGCAGGATCAGCCAGAATTCAGCGGGGTGCAAGGTCCTGGGGCTGCCATGCCTAACCACAGACTGGGGCTCAAAGCAACAATTTATTTTCTCTTCTGGAAGTGAAGACAAATCAAGGCAGAGCTGTGCTCTCTCCAGTGGCTCTCGTGAGGATCCTTCCTGGTCTCTGCCATCTCCTGGTGGCCCAGGTGTTCCCTGGCTCCTAGCTATGTCACCTGTCTGCCATCACTGTCACACGGTCATGCCCAGTATGAGCTGAGGAGCCCTGTCCCTCAAAGGCACTGCTCTTCCCACAGTGGTAGTTAGACGCCAGGGCCATGGTGCCACTACAGCCCTCAAAGCAAGCAGGCATCGCCCCATGCACCCAGAGCTCGCCTTCCTGGCTGGAGGAGCCGTCTGGCCCTGGACGCAGTGCGAGGCGATACCCAGAGCAGCGTGCAGGACTGTGCACAAGAGGCTGGGGCGGCCCCCTCCAGGGGCTTCAGTTCAGGCCCTGGGTGAGGACGGCCGTCCACCCAGACTGGTCGAGACCCCACAGAGAGGGAGAGGCAGGGGAGGACTGAGTGGAGGAGCCACGGCCTCCGTGGGAGAAGCTTCTACGACCCTCTGGCCAAGTGCTGGGGTCATGCTTCCTGACGGTGCATCCTTAGACTCTCAGAACCCAACACGTACGTCAAGAGAGCAAGCGCCTAGCAGGACTGGCCTGTGTCTGGGCACTCCCCAAACACGGCCAGGCTCCCGCCCGGGCCACACAGCCGCATCCACCCCCGAGGGCTGCACCCTCCGCTCACCTGACCTGTAGCTGCTGCGCATGCAGAAGAGCCGGAAGACATCAGGGGAACACGTCTTCAGGAAGTCCTAACGAGAGACGAAGGAGACGGCCACGTAATCCTTCCCAAGCACTTGTGGCACCCCGAGATTACACTGTTCACTACGGTGTGTGAGCTGACTGCACATACCAAGAAATCAGGAATTTTATGAAAAGCTGTTTTTTTGTTTCCAAACCCACTTTTAGTGCTTTTCCCAGTTTCCCTGCTGGATTTTCCATATTCAGTCCCTGGGTCCATGAGAAGGGGGGGCAAGCGGAGGCAGCGGTTAGGCCTAGTCCCTGCCCCGTGCAGGCGCGGGGGACCCGCTGTGCAGTCAGCTCAGGGCTGCCACAACCCGGTTCCCTTCCCAGCGTGAAGGCACGACACAGCAGACAGGAAATGAGAGGCAGGGAAGAGGCGGGTCTGCGGCAGGAGGCAGAAGGCAAGTAGGGCCAGAGAGACCAGTCAAGTGCAGGAGCCAGGGGGAGCCCTCCCGGCCAAAGCTGGGGTGCTTTCAGCACAAGAACAGGCTGAATTGACAGTACACGAAGCAAGTCCAGGGCCTTAACTCCACAGCGGTACTGACGAGACAGAGACGGGAACCCTCTTTAGTGCAGACGGTCAACCAGTAAATGTAAAAGCAGCAATGAAAGGCCAACTTGACTTTGCAAGAAATACACATGCCACAAATGTGGTGCCCACCAAATAAAGCCAAACCCAGGTGGCAGGCTGTTGGGAGCAAGCCAGCCGTGGGGCACACCACCTCCAGCTTCATACAGGGCCACCCCGCTCTGCTGCCCTTTGCAGATGCTACACTGTACAAACTGGAGGCCTGCAGCAACCCTGCATCGGGCAAGTCTGTCGGCAACATTTTCCCGACAGCATTTGCTCACTGTGTGTCTGTGACGGAGTTTGGTGATCCTGTGTTTCCAGTGTTTTCCTCGTCAATGTATTTGTTATGGTGACTGGCCAGTGATTACGACTTGCTGACCGCTCCGATGAGGGTCAGCATATTTTAGCAATAAAATATTTTTTTTTAATTAAAGTATATACATTGTATTTTTAGACAATGCTATTGCACAGTTAATAACACAACAGTCTAGTGTAAACATCTTATATTTACTGAGAAACCAGAAAATTAATGACTTGTTCTGTCACGCCGTTCACTTTATCATGGTGGTCTGGAGCCAGACCCACGTACCTCTGAGATTCACCTGTCATCATGAAAAGGAGACAGAAGTCTCTGTGCCAGGGGAGATCTGATGCCCATTCCTTGACCATGTGGCCAAACTCAACCTCACTGGCAGACAGCCTGGCACTGCGGGCCTAGAGGGAGGCAGCGTGCGGCCCGCGGCCCACCACTGAAGCGCTCCTGCCAGAAAGGTGTGCGAGCCCGAGCCGGGTCAAGCCTTGAGACCGCGTCTCCGGCCGCAGGAAACTCGGGGGACGGAAGAGGAAGACGACTGACGCCGCACAGGGACGGACGGGCCGCGACTGGGGCTCAACAGACGCGGCCTTGCCTCTTCGGAAAAGTCGAGACCATAGGGAAGATAAAAGTAGGACTGTTGCAGATTCGAAGCCTAAAAAGAACAATGGAGTCTTAACTCGGCCTTTAAAAAGAAGGAAATCCTGCCAGAGGTCACAGCATGGGCACCACCATGCTCGGTGGAAGGAGCCGGTCACAAGAGGACAGACAGCGTGTGACTCCACCTAGATGAGGCCCCAGGGTCAGCACCACGGGCACGGCGGCTGCAGGCGGCTGGGCCGGGGTGTGGGTAGTGGGGGGCTGTTCAGTGGGCATGGCTTCCATTTCCCAAGATGACCAACTGTAGGCCAGTCACACAGCAGTGTGATCGCAGTCAACACCACTGAACTGCACACAGAAATATTCGGACGGTAAAGTTTGTTTTTAACCACTATTAAAAATTAACAAAACAAACCAACCCCAGGACGACACAGCACACAACTCTAACACACGAACCTTGACTGGATCATGGTTTGAAATAAAGAACTAAAAAGACCATAGTGAGACAAATAGGGAGATTGTAATATGAACTAGAAAACTGATGATATTAAGAAATTACTGCTAACTTTTCAGGTGTTCATGCTATGTAGGAAAACATCCTTGCATTTTAGGAGTTGCGCACAGAACAGAAAAGTGTCATGATGTGTGTGCCATGTTTTCTAATGGCTCAACGATAAAGCATGTGCCTGTTTGCACCCACAGATGCACATAAACACATTCACCAGTGCCCTGTAGGCAAAGTAGCAAATACAGCAAAATAACCTGGAATCTGTGTGCTGAGCATGTTAAGTGTCTCTTTTGACTCCTCGTGTATTAGAAAATTTGTGTAATACTGAATATTGCTATTTAAGAAGTGTTCATGAAGATGATTTCATGAGGGCACCCGCCTTTGGTTTACAGTATCCCCCTTGCCCACAGGGGCACACAGCAGCCTCCCCATCTGCGGGGAGGCGCTCCAGGACCCCAGGAGAAGCCAGAAGCTGGTACCGAACCGTCTTTGACAGTTTTTCCTGTATATTCACGCCTATGCTAAAGTTTGACTTAAGAACGGAGCAGAAGAGAGTAGCAATAAAAAAACAGCAGTTATAACAACGTCTGTAACGGAAGGTATATGGATGTGGTCTCTCTCTCAGAACGCCGGACTGGGCGGCATTGCTCTACTCTTGGGATGGTGGGAGGCGGTGAAGCGCCTGCAGGGGCAGGTGGACGGCAGGGACGCAGTGACCTTTGGGCCATGTGTCAGAAAGGGGATGGTCTGCTTCCCATCCGCAAGGTGATGCAGGCAACTCAACCTGGGAACAAGGGGGACAGTGGATGGAACGGCCAGATGCTGACCGCATGGGACAACTTTCAGCATTGGGTATACAGGCGAGATAGGTCTGATTACCTATCTTTGTCCATTTAATAGGCAATCAGATGAAATTCGGCTTTACAGGCCCAAAGAAAGACCAAACTAGTTAAGTGTTAGTTCTCTGTTTCTGTCCAGATGGACGTTCACAGTCTGGCCTTCACCCCACAGCACGGAAGTTTATCAGGCAGGTTAACATGCCAGCAAATGCGGAGCCGACTGCTGCACAGGCTTGCTGGGCAGGAGGCGAGTGGGGCAGGGTGGAAAAGGGGGGACCCAGCAAATGTGGTCCCAAAGCAAAGACTTCATGAAAAGAGAAGCACAGAGAAAGGTGCAAGTCCCCCAAGAAAGCCGGCACGGAGAGCAGAGCAGGGGCCACGGGAAGAGGAGAGGGTGTAGGACTGTCCCTGCTTGTGCAGAAGGAAGAGCCACCTGAGCCCAGGAGGGGGAGGAGCGAGTGGGGCCACAGGACACTGGTGATGGGGCTGGGGTCCCGGGGCCGTCCAGATGGGCCTGGCATGCTGGCAGCTGTGCAAGAGCACGAGGACCACAGTACCTTGATAGTAATGTAGTTTTTCAGTGATTTCGACATTTTTTCTTCTTTGCCTTTCACATGCAAATGCCCTGAAACAAAAACAAAATCATTCTTAGTTGGGTGGGAAGAAAGGGGAAGAAGGCTGGTGCTTCTCCGACAGAGGGCTGCGCCGGGGGTGGGGGCACTGCGGGCCAGGCTCAGCGCCAGACGGAGCACACACTGCACAAAATACCCTGTATATGCTGATCTGAGGTCCCACATTCGACCTTCCGGGAAGCTGGAGCCCAGGGCTGTGCCTGTTCCAGGGCGTCCAGCCCCTAACCCCATGGGGGTGGGTGCAAAGAAGCTCTGAGGACTCAGACAAGAGGGCTGCGCCGGGGGTGGGGGCACTGCGGGCCAGGCTCAGCGCCAGACGGAGCACACACTGCACAAAATACCCTGTATATGCTGATCTGAGGTCCCACATTCGACCTTCCGGGAAGCTGGAGCCCAGGGCTGTGCCTGTTCCAGGGCGTCCAGCCCCTAACCCCATGGGGGTGGGTGCAAAGAAGCTCTGAGGACTCAGACAAGAACAGAGAGGGCGACCCGACCAGCACTGGTCACTCTCCTCTCTCCTGTCACTCGGAAGCTCCCCAGGAGGGTGAAATCTCTGCTCTACAGCCCGGGCACCAGGCATCGAGAGCTCACGGACGCCCAGACTGCCGATCAGACTGGAGGAGCTCGCAGGTCCTGGGAGGACTGCTTCCTAGTATCAGGGCCCTGGCTGTTCCACACCCTGTGCATGTGACACACGAGGAGCACCAGACCCATGGCGGGAACCTCCAGGCACACCTCAATTCTTACCGGGCTGCATTTTTACGAGGTTTACTTCCAAAGAGAAATAAATCCTTGAATGTGCAGTTCTGTCATGTACAACAAACACAATTAAAACTTAAAAACTGACAGTATCTGGAAAATGAAACATGGCTGACTACTTAACTCTGTATCTTCCAACCACTTACTTCAAAAAAAGCAATGCATCTCCCATGTGTCGGGAAATAGCTGTTTCTCCAGTATGGGGCGAAATCGGAATGAGGTTCCTACTGTCTGACTAGATTGTAACCATCCTAACAAAACAGCAACGTGAACCCTTTACAATTCCCATGTTCAAAACAAACGAGACCTGCAGTTGTGTGCACACCAAGCACCCTGCTATAACTGACAGGTCAAAGAAGTATGTCAGTACCACTGGGTGCCACATTCCTGACTCTGCATCTCACGGGTGACAGCAGATGCCGCCTCATCCGGAGCACCGACCTCACGGTGTCTGCGGAGGCCTCGCGCTTTCCCTCCTGGACACTGCCACGGTGATGACTTGTTCCAGGGCCAGAGATGAGGGCGGGCATACCTGCGTTCCTGGCACACACCCCTCCAGACCCAGAGATGCCCTCCGCGGAGGCTGTAGGCAGCTGCATCTTTCCCTGAGTCCACTCGCAGGCAGGCTATCTCAGGGGACTTTGGAGTGAAGTGTGGGTGCCTTACTGCACACATGGGGGCCGCGAGTCACTTCTGAGAATACCACCCCAGGGCACTGCCACCCCATTCCCTGGTGACCACCTGCTAAAGTGGAGCCACAGCTCTTCTATTCAGGGAGCCCGCCCAGCAAGTCACATCATTGGCAGAAAAAAACTGGATTTGGGCCACTGTTGATTTCTATCCAGAGAAATAAGGGGGACCCCAGGTAACAGCTTGCTGCCATCGACTGGCTTTATTTCTGCCGTTTCTTTTCAGGCGGCTGTAAGGCATACAGAGTGAGGTGACCCCTCCTGGCTGACCTGCGCCCCTCATGTGCAGGGCGCCCCAGAGGCCTTGGGGGACAGTGTGCTGCAGCCTATTTGCTGCCAGGAAACCCCAGGGAGCCGTCACTGCAGATGCTAAGCAGCAGCTATCAGGGAACTGGAGCACGTCTGCCTTCACTGTGCCCTCGTGGGAACCCTCATCTCAATTCAAGGGCTTAAAGAAACGGTACTTGTTCATTCACTGCTTTAGATGTTGATTATCTGCATCTCCCAACCCCATCACCACCGAACACCCCTTACCTTTCCACACCCCAAATATCTTCACTGTCCATTCCAAAAAGGCGGTAAAACCAGTTCATTGTGGCCCCACAACCTTTCCAAAATTTGGGCACGTGAGTCTCCCCACAATGAAAGCGAATTCCAAAATGGCTCTGCCCAGGATGCCCCCGTTTCCGTGTTTGCATCTGCTTCTGCAAACAGCTGGCAAGTGCTGACCAGATACAGTGTTCAGATAGTGAATGGAGGGCCAGATACACTTGGCTGACAGTATTACAAAAATGACATGTTCATACTCAGTGCATCACGCTATTTGAAAAGCCTTTTAAAAAGTCCTGCTTATTTGAAAGAAACTTACACAGGACAGCACTGCAAAACAGTGTCCACATTCTGGTCGGCTCGTATTTGCGGTCCAAAAAGGAAAACTACTTTTCCCAGTCCAAGGAAGTTCACATCCAAATGACTGAGTTCAAGAACAAGTTCTTTAAGAGATAACTTGGTTGCATGGCCTACTAGCTGACCTATGTTTCCAAATGTAGCTGTTCCAGAAATAAAGACAAAATTGACAAATAAAAATAGAACAACTTAATGTGCTGCCATTACTCACCAGAATGTAGAAAGTAATTTCCCCACTGCTGGCACTGGTGAAATGCCTCGCACTGTGCAATTTCATTTTCATGATGCGGGAAAGCCAGATCGATGCCCCCAGAGTGGATGTCCAGGCACCTGCCAAAGACCGAGCTGCGTGACAGAAGGAGCAGGGAACCCATTCAGATGCGTTTCTCCAGACACATCTCATATCTCATGTTTGACCCGCCAGCCTTTGTGCAATGACTAGAACAGATACCTCGATTTTATCAGTATCATGACAATTTTACTGATGCCACTGGAAAATGAAATACTTCATAACTGAAGACTTCAGAAAAGCCCTAATTCTTAGCTTTTCTTCCCAGAAAAGAGGAATTCTCTTTGCGCCAGATACAGCATCTGGTTTTGAAAATTCTAACAAAATGACCTTTTCTTACTTTAAAAAGGTAGAGGTTTAGTGGCTTTCCAACCATCAGAGACAGAATTACAAAATTAAGAGAACCCTTAATTTGGCTTTTGAAGACAACTATTTAGTGGTCACTAGAGTAAAAAGGTAACGGGACTCAAAGCAGCGTTTCAGTGTCAGCATTCTGCTGAACCGCTATGCACCACAGCCTGATAGGCCTCCCATCCTGCAAACCCTACCCCAGTACGCCTGGGGCTCCCCGACACAGGCGCTGGACAGACGCTAGCACCTGCACAGCTGTTGCCACAGCACCTGCAGAAACCGTGGGCACCAGTGTGAGCAGTCAGGCTGGTGGTGGCTGCTGAGGACATGAAATGCAAACACTGATGAAAAAGCAACAATCAGCATAGTGGAGACGCAGACTCTCATGAATTTTCTACAAATGGTCCAAAATGCATGTTTTTCAAGGTGCACAGCCTTGCTGAGGTCATCCAGCTGCAGGCTGACTCCTCTCCCACTGGTCTGGCCTCCCGAACTCAGAAAAACCACGGGTGCAGCCATCACGCCCGAGCCAGGTGGCGGCAGAGAGGCGCAGTATGACCGAGCAGGTGAGCCCTCACTGCACTTCCTTGGCGAGGGGTCTTAGAGAATGTCTCTGAGTCCTGGAAGCTCAAATGCTGCGAAGGAGAGTCGGGGAGGGAGGGGAGGGCCCAGGGCTGGGGGAGCGCCGGGGGCCGCACTCGCGTCTGTGACGAGTGATTCACGCTCACTGCGACCTGCAGCCGGTATGACTGTGCAGGTTTAATAAAGCTGAACTGGGACCACATGTGCACTACACCGGCCTTTACAGTAAGAGAGCTGAGAAGGTATGGAAGTGTATTTTCATTATTTAGATTTCACCAAAAATAAAATGCTTAATGGTAACATTGCATTTGAAATTTACTAAATGTTTTTTCTACGTGCCTTAGAGAAATTACTTGAATGTACAAAGTAAGCACCTTTTTACACCCCAGTGAATATCCGACATTGCTGTTAAATAAGTATAAATACATGTGTTTGCAGCAAGACTTCAGGCTGGACTAAGTGGTTTGTTTTTTAATGAAAAGCTGGACCCCTGCATCATGCTAATAGGACAGCTGTCTTGCAGATCCATGGATATGTTTCTGTATGCGTCACACGGATGTCAGCCTGGGTGAGGACAACCAGTTAGACATGGTGGAAAAGTTAGACTCTCTCAAGGTGTCCCCTGATGAAAATGCGGACAGGCAGGTCGTGGAGGAACGGGGTGAGCTACACTGAAAACAGAACCTGTCTGGGTCAGTGCAGGGGAATACGCCACCAGAGATACCATCCCTCCAAATGCCCACGTCTGTGCCCAGCCAGGACCATCTGAGGGCGACTGGGTTGGCTGATCTAAGCTGTCTGGTGTAGCTAGTTAACTAGCAGTTTGGAATATTCACCTTAATCATACTTCATGTTTCTAATTTTTAAGATAGCTATTATAGTAATACCTGACATGAACTGAAACCCATCAAATATATCAAAATCCATAAGTTACTAATGATACTAAAAAGCCCTTACCTCACTTCCACCTGAGAAATAGATGCCCAAGGTTGTTCCCCGCAGGTATCTATGAGCAAGATGCCAGGATAGCTGAGTGCGCATACAGGGAAGGGGCCACGTGTGCCAATGACGGGCACAGTGAAAGGGTTTGTGGGGTCATGGGACGGCGAGGGAAAAAGCCAGCGCAGGAGAGCACACACAATGGGCCACTTCCTGTGCCCCGTGATGCACGCACACACGCCACGCGCATGAGAGAAGGGGTACCTGGCCACCATCAGACCCAGTGCAGGGCCAGAGCAACAGGGCCCAGAGACCCGTGAAGGTGGGGAGGGCCAGCAGAGATGCAGAGACCGGAAGATGTCACCGTGCAGGAGCCAAGGCGAGAGCAGGGCCACCACGCCCTCGGGAGGCAGGGCGGTGGGCAGCAGCAGGTCTGGGCAGATGGGGAGGAGGGCAGCAGGCAGAGGGGTGTGGCGCAGGGCTCAGAGAGGTACTGTGTGCCTGGAGCTGCCCAGGCCGGCAGCCACAGGGGCCTCTGGGGCGGGCCAGGGTGCAGGCAGAAGGCCCCGCATGCTTGTGAGTGAGGGACCGCAGAACCGAGCCCATGGGGGGCTCCCAGCACAGGACTGCCAGCGCCCCGGCTGGAGGGCTGGGCATGTGCTCCTGCCGCCTCCTCTGTGGCCAGGCTGGCGGCCACCCGTGTGCTGCGTCCACACGACTGGTAAGGACCCAGGGAACCTCACCTCGCGATGGTGGAGCACTCAACGTGCCAGCCGGGCCGTCCATCCCCCCAAGGACTGGTCCAAAACAGCTCCCGGGGCTTGGCTGCCTTCCACAGAGCGAAGTCGCTGGCGTGCCGCTTGTCAGAATCACCTGCAAGAGCGAATGCTCCGTCGGGGAGAAAGCCCGAAGTGGCCAGACCACTGCGGGGCGCCCCGGACGGTGGCAGGAGGCCCACCCCAAAGGTTCTCTTCCTTCTTCAAAGGAACCTGGCCCTTCACACTCAGACGGCTTCTTTCCCCACAGGACAGCCAGACGGCCAAGTGCATGCTTCCACCTGGACAGGCCACCAGCGGTGAGGCCAGTTCAGTGAGCGTGGAGATTCGAGACACACACCGGTGCTTCCCAGGGGTGCACGGGGCTGAGCACCCATTCCTCCTTATTCTGCCCCCTGCGGAAAGCTCTACGTAGAGGTGCCTGAGTTTCAGATACGGGGGTAAACTTCCCCCCAAAAAGATAATAACCAATAGAGCAAAAAGGAAATTACCAAAGTATCAATCACATTCAAAGAGAACGAAGGCTCAGAGGAGGAGGGTTAGACGACAGCCAAGGCCCTACAACAAGCCAGGGCCCGGCGCTCCTTCGGCTCCAGCGTGGGGGCAACTGCGGCGCCCTCCGGCGGGCGGCGGACAAACACGCTGCGGCAGCGCCAGGCGGTGGGGTGTCGCCCAGCCCTAAAACGGAGCCCTGGGCGGTGGGGCGGCCGGGGGAGCCCTGACTGCGGCGTGCTGAGCGGGGGAGGCCAGTGCGAGAAGGCTGCGCCCGCGCGATCCCAGCTCTGTGACAGTCTGGGGAGGGCACGGCCACGGGGACGGGATGGGGTGGGAGGGCAGGGCGGCAGGCGCAGGAGCCCGGGGCCTGGGGGCAGGGCCGCTCCCGTCGGGCGCGGGGACACTGGGCACACGTCCAACCTGCGTGACCCTGGTGAGAAGTGTGGACGCTGGCTGGGAGACGTGCCCGTGTGTGCCCCTCAGGGGCAGCGGGTGTCCCGTCTGGTGGGGAAGCGGGCGGTGCGGGGGCTGGGGGCAGGCGCCTGTGCGGTCTCTACCTTGCCCTCTGGCTGTAAACCCAACACTGCTCTAAAAAATAAAGTATATTAAAAACAAGTGTGTTGCTGACGTTAGAACGTGTCAGTCTCGGAAACTCCGCCATCAGGCACACCACCCCTCCCGTGCGGATGCCTTCTGGGAAGGAAGCAGACATTACGGGTTGAGTAAAAGTAACAGCATTTCTGAGGAGTCGAATACATACTATTAGGAATTAGGTTTTAACAGCATAGTTATAGGGCAGGATGAAAATGCCTGTAGACAGAAATATCTTGGACAGTTTGCCTTTTGGGTTTTTGCTTGTTTTTGTTCGGTTCTCTTAAATTGCACCCTTTTAACATTTCTGTAGTAGTTCTGTATACTTAGTTCCTCTCCATAAAAATGGGTGATCTAATAGCCCCTAGGGCAGAAGAGTATATGGAATAGACTCAAACACACCAGGAACATAATATGTGGCAAAGTACCCCGGGGGACTTAGTACACAACAGCAAGATGGAGAAGTGCGGTAACATGCCACCAATTCACACGTGCTTCACGTTCAGGGACAGCTCCGGGGGCCCAGTAACGGCCCCAGGGCAGTGAGCTGCCGGCCACGTGGGTGTGAGAGGGGCACGGGCAACTTGCTGTGTGAACTCTATTAAAAAAAAAACAAATTAAAACACGGCTGTGATCAACACTCCGGCGCCGTCACGTCTGGGAGAGAGGGGGTCACTGCTCTCCACGGAGCACGGGGAACACGTAAGCCCAGCCCGAGGGCCACCCACCTGCCTCTGCAGCGGGGCCGGGGACCACGCTGACCAGCCTGCCGTAGTCATCTCCTCGGGACTGCAGGTCGAAGTAGACGTTGCCTGGGTGACAGTGGTGATCGTGACATCGTCAGTCCTCAGCCGCCCACACCAGCATCTGCACCAGCTTACAGCTAGCGGGGAGCGGGACCTAAACCCAGAACACGGCATCTGGCGCTCATCTGGCCTCTGTGCTGCATTTTTAAATCCGAATGAACGCCTGGCCACTGTCTCATAAAAGCATGCACGGGGACACGTGCTGAATGTCCGTCCTGACGGAGAGGTGGAAGCCCAAGCTGAAGTGGTGTCGCTGTGCAGACTATTTTCAACGAGGAAAAGGGAAACTATATGATTCATCCTGCAGGCAGCCCTGGCTCCGTGTTACACCCAATAAACAGAGAAACCCTTTCGCAACCCAGATGCGGCCTGACTCCCTTGTTCCCTAGATCACAAACATCTCCCCCTGACTGTCCCCCATTGACTGAGGGCACTGCTTCCCAGCTGGGCAGGGTGGAGAGGCCACGCAGGGTGCGTCAGAGCCAACTGATCAGGCTGTATCCCTCCCCAGAAGAGGGGCCTGTGGCCATCAGATCCCCATTCCTGAATTGGGAGGGGCTCGGGAAACAAGGCCCCCCGCCTGGGGCTGGCCACAGCCCCTCCGGGCCCCTCCTGGTCACTCAGAGCTTATAGCCGGGCTGGGCTCAAACCGCGGGCTGGGGATAAACTGGTGAAAACAGGAGAAACACGGGGGAAGTGGCCAGGCTGCTGGTCAGAATGTGAACAGCGCTCTGAAACGCTCGGAGAAGAAAGGCAGCTGCGCCCTTTGGTGAAGGAAGCATTTTCCTGGGCCTCTGCTTAATGTTATCAATTTACTGAGCAAACTGTTTCTTCACAAAGACATCAGACATCAAATCACAACCAAGCTGTTGTGGAATTGTCACCAAATCCCAGTTAATGGGGTCTGTGTTCATGTAAATGCTGAGACAGGCCCAGGCGGGTCGCACCCCAGGAGGACGCGCGAGAGGGCACCGACGTCCGGCAAATCCCCACGACTGTCCGTCCTCACGCGGACACTTCGCGCTCTGCCGGCATCAGGCACCCCCAAGCCTGCACATGCCTGACCCTGGCTGGGCACTCAGGAGGGTCCTCCATTGACAGCAGGGGGCTTCTGTGGCCCAAGACATGCTGAGGGGAAGGCACTCGTGGCCCTGGCAGCACAGCACGTGCCCCCAGGGCGAGGAGTCCCCGTCTGGCCCTGGCAGGGAGCCTTCCTGGAAGATCGAGCTTCGGTCAGGGCTTAAGGACGGATGGGGCACACTGAGAACAGGGAAACGCCATGGGGCCAACCGTCCCTGAGGCCGCCAGACAAAGAGCAGCGTCTCCCAAGCCCACGAGCCCCTGCCCAAAGGAAGTGATCCAAAGCCGGGCTGTTCTACGGGACACCCGGCCTCCCCTCCTCAGTGAGTCCCGCCGTGCGACACCATAGGAATCAGACAGTAAATACGTAGCACATCCTGACAACTCAAATTTTCTCAGACTCCTCAGTATCACCCAACGATTGGTGTCACTGGCACACCCACCTCTTGCTGTCGGGTAAGCATGCCCATTAGCGATTATTCCTTGAATGAAAGAAATTATCTGAGGAATATTCTCAGTCACCCTCAAGTACACGGTGGGTGGGAGGACCTGGAAGGAAGCAGAGGCGCTGAGTGCAGCTCGGAGGGGGGGGCCCGGCCCGCAGGCCCCCACCCCACGGCAGGAGCCCCAGGGCCTTACCTTCAAGGCTGCCATGTCCTGTTTGAAATCTTCTTCGTAAAGATTGGCAAGGGAGGCAGGTGATACGTTCATCTGTGAAAAGGTCAGAGCGCATCATTGGTGAGGTCTGGAGAGTCCACGACAGCCACACAGAGTCGGCCACCCCCAGGGGCCACCAGGAGGCTGGCCCCGCCTGGCACTGCCTGCTCACAAAACAGGCACTTAATTTTAGGTATTGCACTTACACTAGGAGCTTGGCTAGTCAGAAAGGTTTTATTGACCATTTTCTGATTGGAGAGAAAAAAAAGGAATATATAATGTCATAATTTCCTCTATATAATTCCAAAAAAAACCCCAAAACATGCAAAAATGGGCAAGCCAGAGCCATCTACTCTCCGTCATTACCAGGAAGTTGAGCACAGGGGGAAAAGAAAACAAGTCAAAATTATTCAAGAGGAAATCAGTAATTAATATTTTGAAAGCAATATAACACCTGAAAATAGGGACTGTGATGGATATTCAACCCCAAGGGCCGGTGGCTGTGCTTTTGGGGATGAGCAAAACCCCCAAGAGACAGACACTGAATTCTGAGTGCAGGGCATTTGGCGGCATGTACCCGGAGCTCCAGATTCTCAGAGGGGCTGGCACACTAACAGGTTGCCAACTCCCCTTCCCGGCTCCTCCCCACACTGTTAGGACTCCAGTTTGTAGAAAAGAAATCTCAGCTCTAGAATACCCAGAAACATCCTCAAGCAAAATGCTGTCTGGAACCTGCTCACTCCGAATTCCACACTCTCGCCAGCCCAGGGTCTGAGCATGGCAGTCATCCTAAAAACCCTGCCCAGTGAGCATGTACTGAAGAAGTGACTTGGAAAATCTGGTGAACACTGTCTTTTTAGCTGCGTGCCTTTGGGCAAGACGATGAACCTCCATGCCTCAGGCTTTCTCTGCAGCAGACATAATCCCCCCAATAATCCCTCAGACCGCACTGAGGATTCAGTGTACACGCTGGGCAGTCACCTGTGGGAACGGAGAGCGCTGCGCTGCTCATCACTAGAGGCAGAAGGCCTGGCACAGGATGTGGCTGGTGCGCAGCACTGGTCAGCCCCCCTCCTACAGCCGTGTGGCAGAACAGACCTCTCAGAAAAGAAACGGGGAACAAAAGACCAAACAAACAGAAGGCCTACAAATTCAAGGTCACCTTGCCACTTCAGAAGTTTCAAATGTCATGCAATTTGGGACCTAAAGGTCAGTAGATAGTTCAAATTTATCTATCTGTAATTTCTGTTCTCTACAGAGGTAACAGTCCCTGTGCAGAGAGTGTGAATGACACAAGGAGGGTCCAGGCCTGGCTCCCTTCCGGATGCAAGCGCTGCCACCAATCATCTTGGGAGCATGACCGGGTTGGACCGTGTCTGCACCCTCCTCCTCCAAGGTGCCCTCCATACATGACTGCACCTGCCACCTTCGCAGACATGTGCTTCCGGCCTCACGGGCGATCGCCTGCCCCCTCACCCATCAGGAACGCTCGCCCTAGCGCTCTCCGACTACTCACCCCGCCTCTGCTGGGCCACACACAGCTGCCTACCCTTCCCTTCACATGGTGCAGGTATGTTTCTAAGCTCAGACTAGCTAAACCCACTGACCAAGGGACGCGTGCCTCCGCTGGCTATGCCACCGCCTCTTACGGGAGGCGCGCCAGCAGGAAGCTGACCTCCAAGCCAGCACGAGGGAGGCAGTTCAGACTTTGTCAGCGTGACAGCTAAAATATACTTTCTGGCTCTAACTGCGTTTGTACCTTTCTGTTTTGACTGAGCTTGAACACCTTGCTCATGCAACCATTTCCAGTAAAGGGCCTGTGATCAGCTTCTCTACTGCTTTACAGGAAGTATTTTCATAGGAAAGAAATTAACCTTTTAGCTCTGACATAAGCCTTTTAGTCTTTCAACTGGTTGTTTTATAACATGTAGATTTCATTTTTATATTTAGCAATCTTTTCTATTTCTCAACCTTTTCCCATAAATGGCTTCAGGTTTAGAAAAGCCCTCCCTAATGAGCGGCTATGGAAAGGGCCCCAAGGTCCCTTTAGCCATTTGTCATTTGTGGTTCTATGTCTTTTATACTCGATCTCTGGTCTGCCTCGAATCTGGTTGCGAAGCATGTATCTACCCAGCTTTGGTTGATTATTTTCCCCAGATGGTTACCCCAACTGTCAACACTTTTAACTGAATAATTTATCTGTTCCCCATTGATTCGAAATGCTATTTTTATCATGAAACAAATTTCCACTATTTGTTCTATTTCTGGACTTTTCTAGTGTTCCGCTGCTTTTTCATGGATCCATACAGTATGTTCCGTTTCTACGGCAGTCACAGACATGGAAAGCATACGGCAGATGAGTGGACTGGGTGGCAGGGAGGGTGACAGGGCGCTGGGTGGATGGGGGTGTCCTGGCCCTGGTGCTGGGTACATAGGTGTGCAGTCCTCTCATGCTGGACGCCTAGTGTGCACTGTGCCACTCATCATAGGCCTGTTCCCACCTCAATAAAACTGAGCAAAAAATAAAAGAATATATGAAAAAGTTTCCATAGCTTTGAAGATACGCTTTAACATGTGGTGGTGCCCCCCCTCCTCTCCCCTATTCTGCTCCGGACTCTCCCTGGCTATTCTTGTTTTTTGTTCTCCCATATGAGCTTTAGAACCAATCTGTCCAGTTCTGTGAGGGGCGTGACATGGACACAGCCACACGCACGAGGCACAAACGCTGCCTTTCAAACAGCTTTTCAAGGATGACGTCGCCCAAACCTGCAGTCCCTGTGCACAGGTGGCTTCTCCAGCTCTCACACACAACCCGGAGGACACGCTTCCGCATGCGGGTGGAATGCCACTCTACTGCTGGCCCTGGGGGATCATATTCTGAAAGCAGAGTTTAAATTTAATTTGTAAGCAGCTGATCATAGCACTCGTGGGGAAGCACTGCTGTCACTGTCTGTCAAACAAATGCAGGAGGCAGGTGCTGCGAAGGGCTCCTCATCCTTGTCATTTCAGATTCATGTCCGGCTGCCTCTCATCATCCTAAATCATTTCAGGTTGCCCTCTCCTTGGCTGGCGACTCTGCTGGCCGGGCCCCTTGGCACTCAGACTGAATGTCCAGCCTTCTTCCCAGAGAGAAGGGCCCCAGGGCCCAGGTTCTGAAGCACAAAACCAGTAGCTTTGGCTTGAATCACTCTGAAACATTCACTGTGATTTTTCTGAATACGAAATGTGACTTCGTGAATATTCCATGCTTAGTTCTAATTCTTACTCCAGAAATCCTCCTGTGGATTTAGCCCTGACAAACTATAAAACTCTGACAAAAATTAAAGTCAAGGGGATGATTCAGAAAAGTGTAATATTATAATTTAAAATATTTTAAAAGCAAGTGTTGGAGCAGATGGTCTGAAGGATATCTCCATCGTCAAAAAAGCCTGCATCAGATACAAAGAATAGCCTTTCTGCTAGATACTAAAAAACAAACGTGTTTTCATAGCTGGGTTTCAAATACATGGTTTATAATCTTAAAGTTAAGATACTATGAAAATAAATAACTATTCAATGCTATAACAGCATCTTGCCACATAACATGCCAAAAATTAAACACTGTATTTAAGCTCATTAAATCAATTATGCAACTTTTTCATACTTAAGAACTTTTTGTTTTTTGCTGTTCTGCAGCCACTTTTTTTTGGTATCATTAATGTACAGTTATATGAGCAACATTATGGTTATTAGACTCCCCCCATTATCAAGTCCCCACCACACACCCCATTACAGTCACTGTCCATCAGTGTAGTGAGATGCTATAGAGTCACTGCTTGTCATCTCTGTGTTGCACAGCCCTCCCCGTGCCCCCCACTACATTATGTCTGCTAATCGTAATGCCCCTTATTCCCCTCCTCCCTCCTTCCCACCCACGCCCCCAAGTCCCTTTCCCTTTGGTAACTGTTAGTCCATTCTTGGGTTCTATGCTTCTGCTGCTGTTTTGTTCCTTCAGTTTTCTTCTTTGTTCTTATACTCCACAGGTGAGTGAAATCATTTGGTACTTGTCTTTCTCCTCCTGGCTTATTTCACTGAGCATAATACCCTCCAGCTCCATCCATGTTGTTGCAAATGGTAGTATTTGTTTTCCTCTTACGGCTGAATAATATTCCATTGTGTGTATGTACCACATCTTCTTTATCCATTCACTACTGATGGACACTTAGGTTGCTTCCATTTCTTGGCTATTGTAAATAGTGCTGCGATAAACAAAGGGGTGCATATGTCTTCTTAAAACTGGGCTCCTGCATTCTTAGGGTAAATTCCTAGGAGTAGAATTCCTGGGTCAAATGGTATTTCTATTTTTAGTTTTTTGAGGAACCTCTATATTGCTTTCCACACTGGTTGAACTACCTTACATTCCCACCAGCAGTGCAGGAGGGCTCCCCTTTCTCCACATCCTCGCCAGCGTTTGTTGTTGTCTGTCTTTTGGATGGTGTGAGGTGATAACCCATTGTGGTTTTAATTTGCATTTCGCTGATGATTAGTGATGTGGAGCATCTTTTCATGTGCCTGTTGGCCATTTGAATTTCTTCTTTGGAGAAGTGTCCGTTCAGATCCTCTGCCAATTTTTTAATTGGATTATTTGCTTTTTGTTTGTTGAGGTGCGTGAGCTCTTTATATATTTTGGATGTCAGCCCCTTATCAGATGTCATTTATGAATATTTCTCCCATACTGTAGGAAGTCTTTTTGTTCTACTGATGGTGAATACTTTTAAGACTTTAAAAGTGACAACCAACGCCTGCTCGAGGTGCCTGTGAGATCCTCGAAATCGCTCGATTCCCCCCGCATTTATCGCTGCTGCTCCTCTGGCCACCCCAGCGCGTCCCCCAGTTCTTGCGCCTCTCCCACCCCCAACCTTTCCCACTGGGCCCGCCAGCCTGACCAGTGTCCAGCCTCCTAATAGCCACGTCACCAGGGTTAACATGCCCACCCATTTTAAAGGTTCACAGCAGACCCCGATTCTCCAAGGGCAGGGACCCAACCGCACAGTCTTGGGTCCCAGCTGAGTGTGATGACAGAAAGAACACCAACCTGCAGTCCCACGTGCTACCTCTGCTGTGGGGCTTCCTCCCGCCACTTGGCCGCTCGCTGCGTCAGGCCTCCACCTCTCACTGCCGCTTCTGCCCGGGGCCCAGGCAGCGAGGAGGTGGCTCCCACAGGCCCCCTCTCAGCGTCTCTGGCATCTACCTTCCCAGCACTGCCCCGAGCCCTGCCCTCAGCTCCTGCGTGGATCACTACACCGATTCCAGCGGGGCAGTGCAGCTCTTGCCCCAGGTCCGTCCTGACCATGGCATCTCGGACACTTCTTTCTTCACCCTGTTTGCCCAAAACTTCACTCTAGGACCAGGCCCAGCCCAGCAAGTGGCTGAGCACAAATACAGCCCTGGGCAAAGAACTTCCATCTCAGACCCCCGTCCTCCTGTGCCCCACGTGGCAGGTGCTGCAGGGTCACCGGGAGCACCCCTCGCTGCCCACCCTGCCTCCCGCCTGCTCCCTGGGGACCCTGCCCGTCACCCGCTGCCCCCTGGCCAGGTTAGCACCTCCCAACCTCGCCTCCAAGGCCTTAGGGGGCTGGGCCAGGGTGGACCCCAAACCCCATGGGGGGCTTAGACATGGAACAGTGACAGCAGCAGATGGCGACAATGGCCTGACTGCCACCACCAGGGAGAACCTGGGTGGGGTGGCGAGCCGCCAGCAGCCCCGCCCAGTCCCCCCTCCAGCCCGCAGGGCTCGTCTCCGGCACCAGTCGTGTGGTGCCTTTTCCAACACTAACTACTGCTGTTCCCCAGCTCCGGCTGGGTGTCCCACAATCCTGCCCTGTCCCGAGCTAACCCCCCATGGCAGTGCGGATCCACAGGCCACAGACTCAGGCCCACAAGACTGTCCCCATTTCAGACGCCAGCCACAGTGGGGTCCCCCGGCTACTCACACTTCTGCCCACTGACCACATCTGGGGGTTTGGGAGACGAGTGTCAGGACTCAGGGAAGCACCCACTTACCGTTACCAGATTCGAAAGGACACAGCTCAGGAACCCCCAGCCAGACGAGCTGTCCAGGGCGAGTACAGGAGAGAGGGCTCCCGTGCCCTCTGCAGGCACACCCCTCCCAGGACCTCCCTGTGCTCGATGTCGTTTGGGGGCTTTAGGGAGGCTTCAGTACTTAGGAAGCTCGGTTCAGTCACTGGCCAATGGTGATGGACTCAGCCTCAGGCCCTCTCCCCTCCCAGGTGGTGGCGGCTGGTTCTTCTGGCACCAGCTCTGGTCCTGACGCTGCCCATGGCCATCACCTCTTGGCACACGGAAGACACCAGAGAGCCCTGGGATTTCCGGAGCTGTGCACCGGGGAGTCGGGGACAAAGACCAGGGATGTATTTGTCATCGCCCACAGCCCTGAGCTCACTGAGTCCAGTCTCTGCATCCCTGTTGGTCAGCATGTCGTTAGGCACCTCCAGCGTGCCCCCACTCACGGCAGGGCTGACCCCTCCCAGGGGCCTGTCTCTACTGTGTCCCCCACCCCAAGTGAACTGTTTCCACTGGATCAAGCTGACCCCTTCCAGCATGTCCTGTGAACCCGTGAACAAATGCCCAGTCCTCAATACAACCTCTCAACTTCCCCGGCCGGCACCCCTCCCCTGGCAGGCACCCCTTCCCCGGCCACCTGCCAAGTGTTCCTTAACATCAGAATCACCAGCTACCACGAGAACATGCCCCTCAGGGGCCTCTCTTGTCTCCTCTGCCAAGACCCCCCTGGCTCTCCCTTCATGCATCAGCCCCTTCCTAATGCCTGAGATCCCATGTGGCCTCACCTCCTCCAATAAGTCATTTCGGAATTCCAGGGAGCCTAGAGGCATCTGCGACCTTGGCTTACAAATAAACCATGTTCCATACAGAGCATCTGTCTGTGGGTCCTTCTGCCTCACCAGACACACACTGTGCAAGGTGGGAAGTGACGTCCTTGGCTGGGCTGCCACGAAGCCAGGCGAGGAAGGGCCAGCTGTGGACCGAAGTCGAGCCTACTGTGAGGGAGCAAGGCACCCAGACTGAGCGCCCAACGCGATGGAGACGGGAGGCCCCAGGCACTGGAGACGCAAGGAATACTTAAAGCTGGGACCGACCTTCAGCTCTGCCAGGAACCTGTCTCTAAAATGATCAACTTTAGGAGGATGAAACTACCCAAATAAACTCTTTTGACCAGGAATTCCACTTTGGGAAAAATTTTTAAGGAACAAGACAGAAGAGAAAGGAAGGTATTCATAACAGCATTGTTTTTAACAGCTAGAAACGACCCAAGTGGTCCATGAGGGGCCACTGAATAGCTCTGGGTGAAAGGCTATCCAGTCATCACTGGAATCTGCTCAATTGTAGATCAGGAGATGTGGTTTCTAGGGAAAAACCTGAGAGAAGAGCAGAATCCTGAAATAACCTAGGAGTGCAGAAATAAGGCTGGCAAATGAGGCTGTGTCCATGTGGCAGAACATTATAAAGCTATTTAAAATGTTCAAGAATATTTAAGAACATAAAAAAGCAGACCTTACAATATAAACAGGTTTTCTTAAAAAGTATTATACATATTTACATACATTAAAAAAAATTACAAGGATGTAAAGCACTCAACAGGTATCCCTGTAAACCGGATAATTTCACAATTAGAAATCTTTAGGGATCTTTAAGGATAAGCATTAAAGCTCCTAATTATAAAAAGCAGAAGACACGAACTTTGAAATCAGACTTTTAAAAATATAAATATGGTTTAATCCCCCAGTTAAAGTTTTCCCCAAAAAACTTCCTCTAAATGCTGTGTAAGAGAAGAGAAATGCCCTATTCATTTAACAAGAGAAAATGAAACCTCCCTAGCTAACTTTCCCTAGCCCCAAAGCAGCCTTGACCTCCCCAGTGACGGGGGCCTTCCCGTGGAGGCTGAGCAGCCGGGCACAGGGTCACGGAGCCACCCAGACACCAAGCCAGAGCAACACGGCGCACCAGTGGCTTCGGTGCCCCAAGTCACACAGACCTTAACTTCCTCTACCAAAGAGACTTCTCTGACAGTCTGTCAAAACACACTCCTTCAGCCACGGGTGGACAGCAAGACAAGGGACTCGTGAAACACATAAGAACACTGTCACACGGGCGGACCCCGCTCAGGTCACCGTCACTGCCACCCGCGCTTACCTCGCCGGCCCTCTTGATTATCTTGTCATCCACGTCTGTGATTCCCATCACCATGATGACGTTGCATCCGAAAACCCTGGTGAGGATCCTTCGAATTATGTCAAATCTAACGTACGAGCTGCAAGAACAAAATGTCAGGGCGTCTTTAATACGGCAAGTCATCGTGATCTTTAAAACAAATGCATTCCTTCTTACACGCGGCTGTGTAACTTCAAATGTGACACTGACAGCTCCGGGGCGGCAGAAAAGAAAAAGCATTTTACTGACAGGCCACAGGGGGCCTCTCAGCCAATCAACCAAGGCCTCAATGTCAGGATACAATATTAGCATTTTAAATTTGAGAGCTATTGTCTAAGTGAGTTTACATCTACTTAATCATACACAAAGTTCACGTGCGTGTAACACAATCTCACTGGTTAAAATGCTGAAGGATTTTACCATTCTTGTTCATGTCCTGGAATGACTGCGTTTCGTATGACAAAACAGAACCAAGTGACAACAAATAAAGAGAAGCACATGCCTACTCAAGCTGTACGAGATCACCCCTGAAAAATGTGTCCCCGTGGGGGAATGTGCACACACCAAACCAAAAGGGCTTCAAATCCATTAAGATCCATCTAAAATCTCACGAATCTCATTTCTCATTGAAGCGACCTCAAAAAACTCAAGGTCAGCTAATCTGACGCTCATCTGTCATCCACACGACCAATCTGAGTTCATGAATCATTGTCCCTTGAAAACGAGCCTTGATTTTGTGTCCACCCCAAACCCAGCTGGGCCCAAATCTTGATTCTAGTGACCAAACGAGCCCTGAGGCTCCCTGCTGAGAGCTGAGCCTCTGCAGCTCGGGCGGCTCATTCACAGACGGGGCGGACACGCGGCCCTACAGGCTGCCGCCCAGTGGCTGGGCACGTGCTCCAGCCGGTGGGGGCTGTTACCACCACTACCATCACTACGCCCCTCAGTCATGGTGAGTTGGGAAAGAATCGACAGAAATAAGATCTGAGACAGTTAACAGGAACCCAAAACAAAGTGAAACAAGAGCAGAGTCACGTGCTTGCCCAGGCGAGCTCAGGGGCTGCAGGGCGCTGAGCTGCTGCGCGAAGGCTGCTCCCCAGGGTCCGATCCACGTGCACCGCCGACAGGGCACAGGGCCGGGGGGGGGGAACCCGGCACCCAGTCAGGCTGTCGGCCATCTCTGCCCCACTGTGGGACCTGGGCTGGGGCTGTCATCCTCGGCATCGTGCTGTAATTCTGTAATTTTTCTTGTAATTTGGGGATAACAGCCCCACCACCTAGTGTTGTTAGGATTCCGTTGGCTGGTGTTTGTCAAGCATGTAGAACATGCACACAAGCACATGCTATCTGTGTGTGTTACAAAAGTGCGTTATCTTTTTAAAAGAGAGGCTAGTGTGGCTACGTGGCGAGGACCTGGAGAGTAAGGAGGGACAGTCCTTCAGAACCACGCGGGTGTCCTCGGGACTCTGAACTCTACTCAGGGGCAGTGGGGCCGTGCCTGGCCACCCCTGCCCCCGAGGCTTCACACGTGTCCAGAATCGTGGGGGACTTAGGCTCTCTGCCCTCGGGGGCATCAGGACCTGCGCGACTCTTCTGAGGAATGGGTCCCATTCACAAGCAACACTTCCATGGTGGTTATCCAAGTGGGCGCAGGGGTGGCCGTGAGGAAAGGGTTGCAGAGACGCCTTTTGCGTGCTGGTGACATTCTGTTTCCCCAGCTAAGAGCTGTGGACATTCATCAGCGGCACTCTCAGGGCTTGTACTCTTTGCTCGATTTGTAAGGACAAATGCAGGCGATCACTGCGAAGCTTGATTCTCCAAGTCGGAAGATGAGGAAAGAGGCTCTCCCCTCTCCCCCTTGATTTCAGAATTTCCTCAGTCCTTTTAAAATGTATGTAAATGTTTTCAATGGTGAAATAAGCCTCTTGTCAGTCTCACTACTCAGGAAATTTCAAGGATCCGGAAGCCATCTCTGAAATGAAGTCACCAAGGAAGGTAATGCTCTCTCACCCAAGGGCTCAACAGGTCCCCACTCCACACTGCAAACCCTGCCTGAGCCAGTGACTTGTATCCACTTAGCTCGAGAAAAGAGTGAGACTGCTTCCTGTCTTGGCCATCCTTTTAGTGGGCTGCCTGTGACTACATCCCATTCTGGTTTAATGATTATTCAACAATAAAATTTTCTTTCTCTTCTGCCTTTGTGGAGAGGTTTCCAGGTTGTGAGATTTTATTTGTAATCATTTCCCATACATACCTATATACTGTAGTAAAAGGGTCAAAATAAACTTTTTACAATTGATGGTAAGTTATCCCAAAGGGAAGGAAGAATGATTCCTAGCCCATGTATTTTAACAAAACACAAAAAATGTTCTGATCTTGCTGGGTGAATTACAATTTTGTGAAAAGAGTACTGGGTAAAGGGAGCTTTTTCCTTTTGGCCTAGGTCTGGAGAATAACAAGTTTAGCAGACGTACAAGAGAACATGTAAAATGCTCAGAAAAGTGGTAATTCTGACAAATGTAGGAGGCAGTGCAGATCACAGTTAAGCGCATCCAAGGCGAGCTCCACTGGGCCCCGCCCGGTCCTAACAGTGTGGCCCCCTCCTCCTCCGGAGTCCCCGCCCCAGGTCACGCCTCAGGTTCGGTGTTGAGCGGCAGGCACTCTATGGGCATGACTTCACAGAACTGTTAAGTTCCAAAAGATGGAGACTAGTTATCATTCCATCTCAAAGCTGAAAAAACCGAGGCTCAACGCAATAAAGCAGTTCGACCAAAATTGGGAATAAAAATGGTAGAAGCAAGAAAAAACTCCTGGCCAGCTGACTTTAGGGCCCCTGGAAAGACCTCATCACACTAAACTCATCAAGAAACACCTAATTCTAAAGGGGTCATTCCACACTGCTCTTCACTGCCTCCCTGGGGTTCCTCGCCTGCGAAATGGGTTGTAAGAGCTTAGAATGCTGCTTCCCACAATACTTGGAATATAGTAATTACTTAGTGTTCTGAAGTTGCCACTTGAAAGATAGAAAAAACCTGCAAAAGTCTTTTCAAAATCAATGGTCTCCTGGAGGGTAAAAATTCAAATTCGGGGCACTCACCAAGCGTGGCCAAGGTGTGCGTGATCGTAGACAGTGGGTCCACAGCTATACCTGGGAACAATTTAAAATCCACCATGAGATATGTTTGCACGCAAGTACGCCACGTTCTCGGTTACGTTTACCGGATCAGCCTTGTTTTTTTTTTTTTTTTAAGTAACCACTTTTGGGGAATGCATAGCCGGGATTCTCTTCGTTGAATCGCTAAATTCACAGCCTAGCCCTGTCAATCACTGTAATTACACCGCGTCTTCAAAAGTATTTTGTCACTAATGCTTTTCTTTTCAGAACCAACGCCGCGTTCAACACCGAGCCCCGTCCTCGGAAACGCGCGTCCACAGTCCTTCCCGCCCCACATCCCCAATCCCCGGGACTACCAGGAGGCGCCGTCCGCGCTGCCCACGATCAAGGGGTCCTTCCTTCGAGTGAGGCTGTTGTACACTTTGACGCCCGTGTCGTAGCCCGCAGGCTGAAGCCAGCGCTGCCTGCGCGGCCGCGGCCCCGACCCCAGGCTGTGCGCCGCCCGGAGCACTCGGGCACTGCCACGGGGCACGCGGATCCGTAGCATGGCCGCCCGCGAGCAGCTCGGAGCAGGGCGCACGCGCTCTGGAGGCTCGCCGCGCCCCGCCCACCAGGAAGAGGACCCGCCCCGGTCTCGCCCAAAACCGGAAGTAGGCCGCCCACTCCGGAAGAGGACCGAGTCTGTCCCCGCCCTGACCGGAAAGAGGTCTGTCATGCCCCGCCCACCCATAACCGCCTAAACCGGAAGGGTGTCTGCCAGAGCCCCGTCCACTCCGGAAGGGAACGCTGCCGACGCGGCCAGTCCCGGAAGAGGCGTTAGGAATCCGCAGCCGCGCCTCCCTCCCACCATATAGAGTCCGCCACTCCGCGGGGAAGAGCGGGCCACCCGGGCCTCGGTCGGGGCGGGGCCGGATCCCGAGGCCAGAGGGAGGAGTGCGTTGGATCGTCAGCGGCGGTCGCACGGGGCATCTGTGCTGACGCGGTCCGAATAGGGGCGGGTGCCCACCCCCGCGGTGGCGCGGGAGGCCGCCGCGAGCAGGTTTTCACCTTGCGGGCCCCGCTGCCGGCTCCTCGTCCGCTCGTGGAATACGTCTCGTGTGCACCCCAACAGCACACGCTACGTTTGCACCCCAACACACGCGCGCGCGCGCACACACACACACACACACACACACACACACACTTTGCATGCAGCACACTTGTCTCCAAGTGAAAGACCAAAGCTACGAAAGCACCCATTCATCAAGTAAGCGTAGTAAGAAATACCAGCTTGAGATTCATTTCAAGGTTGAACGTAAATATTCTGGTCTCCTGAGAATGAAACATTCTGAACTGAGGTTTCAATTGGATTTTTAAACGGTAGATTCTCTTGAAGTTACGTTCAAATTGTGTCGATAAACGTTCCCCTGTTGACATCTTGCAAAACAATCTCAGAAAGAAAGCCCCTTCGCTTCTGCAGCCTTAAACAGCAAAGAGCTTCCTCAGTTCTTTGTGTATTGTATGTGTGGTTGGTTTTGGTCCTGTTGAAAAGCAAATGCCTACACGCCGGTATGTTCCTACACTTTTAAATACTTTTTTTCAAGATCCCTATAGTGCAGTTCTGCAGTTCTGTTTCAAGCTAAACTGGAGTCTATGTTGTAGTGCACAAAAATGTTAGAACCTGTTGTTAAGAATTAGGAGACGACTATATCAATGGTAAGCATGTGCTCCCTGACTATTCAAAGTTCTACTGGAGTATATTATCTCTTCCTATATTGCCTGCATACTTATCTTGATGTTATATTGTAGTTGTCTCTTGTTTCTAAGACAGTATGTATATTTCTCCACCTGAGTACTTTATATTGTAAACTCTTCTGAACATTCTTATTGTATCCAGCACTAAATTCATAGAAGGGTTGCTGAATTCACGTCTGATGAAATTCACCTATTTTGCAGGTGGGAGGAAATATGGGCAGTAAAATATCTGATAGGGAAAGCTCTGACCCAGATAATAGCTGTGCCGGTAAAATAAGAAAAAGAACAAAAGGTGATTTCTAAGAACACACAGAATTCAAGGAAAAGATACGTTTTGAAAACAGATTCAGTAACACTGAAGACCAAATCCTGCATCTTCTGCCTTCAGAAAACTAGTCCTGTGAAGTGTTCAGCCCTTGACTGGCAGCAGTTCTACCTTTTCTTCCATCTTCTGAGCATCATTAAAACGGAAAATTTACAAGGACAGCAACCTAGCGGGTGGTTCCACTCTGTGTCGCACCCCTCCCTCCTCAACATAAACAACATTACAAGGACAGTAATTTACGAGGTGGCTCCCTTCTGCCTCGCCCCCTCCTCAACCCAAACAAAAAAGAACACTCCCCTGGTTTCCCGTGCTGCGGAGCACCGGGTCCCAAGGTTCGCTCCCTGAACTCCCTCCCCCTCGCCTGCTCGCTTGCTGTGTCTGTAGGAATGTTACAGATGAGGAAGCAGAAAGGTATAAATTGCTCCCTTTTCCTTTGTTCGGGGCTCAGACTCTTTGGGAGGTTGCTCCCCTCTGAGCCCGCCAGTGTGAAATAAAGTCTCAACACTCCAAGACCTGCGAGTGCCGCTTGATTTTTTCCGTCGGTGATCCAGTCCAGGTTTTTTTTCAGTATTTTCCGTAACATTTGGTTCCCTGACCGGGAAACCCAGCCGCGCTGGCCCTTTGTTGCCACCGGTTTGGGGCAATGGTGGGGCAGTGAAGGAACAGGAGATCGCAACCGAGAAGGCGCACCCTGCCTGACCTTTCGGCAGGCTCCCACCCGGTCGCCCTCGGCCGGCCCCGCTCCGCCGTTCCCGTCGGACTCAAGGAGGCTTGGCAGGTGAGGACCTGGTTCTGACACTGAATCCGGTAAGGCCCCAGGGCCCCTGACCCAGCCAGTCCCACCCGTTGGGGTGGAAGGGGAGCCTGATCACCTCCCGGGAGACTTATTAGAAGCCTCACGGGTAGACATTCCCAGGGGGGAATGTTTAAACTCTGGTCTGCCTGGGTGTGTGTGTGTGTGTGTGTGTGTGAGTGGGTGTGCAGAGCAGCTGAAGCCATTCAGTCTGCACTGAATCTGTGATTCCACGGCCTGCGCTACAGAATCTGCGTGGGCCCTCATCCGCTTTCGCGGCCAGCCGTCACGGCGTATTGGTGATTCAGCTTCGGCTGACCTGGCCTGGGACTTATGCAGGTGCACCTTAGCCAAGGCTGGCCAAAGTCTCCGCGAGGAGCGCGAACGGACGGGCATCTGACTGGTCTCCTCTCTAGAGGAGGCACCCCTCCCTTGTCTGTTGTCGCGGCGCCGGCCACGGACACGTCACGGGCTCACGGCACAGTAAACCCAGTCCTTGACACTATGATCAAGAATTTCAGAAAACAACAGAGTAAAACTAATTCCTGGCAGGTTGAAAACCCCGTGTGAATCTGTCTTGCCCACCTTTACTGTAGGGTGGCCTCCAGAAGGAACCCAGACGTCCCAACAATCCGCTGAGCCTGGTGGGTCATCCCTAGAGACCCAGGTCATCCTAATCAGTTCCCACACTTTAACTCCCAGTTAGGAGCTGCCCAGACCCTTCCCCCTTGGGTGCGATTCGCTTGCAACAGGCAGGGACAGGGGAGGGTCTTAATTGCCTCAACAAGGAAGCCTGCAAAGAAACAACAAAAGCCTGAGCCTCCGCACATTTTTACGGGTGACCCAGAGGAAGAGCTAATATTGCCCCCGCATTATGTGCCTCCACGGCCAGCAGCACCCCGCCCCTGGTCCCTGATACCCCGCCACCATCAGCCTCCCTGCCAACTCCAGACCAGTGAACCCACTTCCCCCTGGACCAGCAGCCTGACTGCACCCTCAGCTGGGAGCAGGTGCCCTTCAGATGCCAGTGCAAGTGATGCAGGGCCTGAAAGCAGTACCCTGTTCACAACAGAAGAGAAGAGGCAGCTGGGGTCCTTGGTCAGGGTGCATAGGCTGACATTGCTGTTCCCGGGAGCACCCCAAGAGGGACTTCACCACCCCTGAGGGACAGCACCAGATCCACCAATATCAGGATGCTCTCCTCCAGGAAATTGAAGCTGGGTCCAAAAGGCCTGTGGACATGACTAAAGTTTTTTCAGTCACTCAACAACCAGAAGAGTGTCCTGGAGACTATGATGAGAGACTGTGTGAAACTTATCGCATCTACACCCCTTTCAACTCTGAGTCACCAGGGAGCCAGCAGATAGTAAACACCACATTGCAGCCCAAGCTGCCCCAGACATCAGATGAAAGCTCCAAAAGCTTGAGTGCTTCAGTAAGATGACTGAAATTGCCAAAAAAAAAAAATATCTAAACAGAGAAGTTCAGGCTGACAGAGAGGCAAAAAGAAAAATAAAGAAAAAGGCAAGTTTCCTGGCAGCTGCCCTGAAAGAGATGGATGGGCAGAAGGCAGAGAGAAGCCAGCCACCTAGAGGGGGGAAGCCCAGGACCCCCCTCGCCAAAAAAAAGGGAGGGGGAAGGCATTAGAAAGATGAATGCCCCAAACGAGGCAAAGCCCCAAAGCCCAGTTACTGCCGGGAAGAGCCCCGTGAAGAAAGGCTCCTTAACCTGGCAGGAACGGACAAGGACTGACAAGGACCGGGCTCTCTCGCACTCGGCCCCCGGAGCCCACAGTCAGAATGAAAGTGAGGGGCCAAAACATGACTTTTACAGTTAACACAGGGGCATAACACTCTGTGGTCACCCTCCCTGTAGCCCTCTTCAGTGAAAAAGACTGCAACTATTCTCGGTGAAAGGGTATCTCACCGCGACCCTGCTTACCCAGGACGACTCAGGAGACACGGGCCCACGCAAGAGATTTTTTTATCTGAAAGAGAAAGCGGGACAGAGAGACAGAGCAGAGAGAGCAGCGGGACAGAGAGAGAGAGAGAGAGAGAGAGAGAGAGAGAGAGGCAACGTGGTGCAGAGAGTTGTGCCTTTTATTGTGGTAGATCCCCTTGGCCTGATGCCTTGGGGAGGGTCGGGATGTTTAGAGATAAGGAGGGGCAGGCCTAGGCATGATTCTCACCGGCTTATGTGCTTGAGACCATGGAGTAAATAGAGGATAAATTACTATATTCTTACACTTGGAGCCACAAAGGCAGCGACAGTATCCCCTCTCACAAGAGGCGAGAGCAGGCATCCAGGAACGCCTGATCAGACTCAGAGAGGCAGGCCTTCTAATCGAGTGTCAGTCGCCCTGGAACACCCTGTTTCTGCCAGTCAGAAGGCCAGGAGGAGGGCACCAGCCTGTTCAAGACCTGTGAGCCATTAATAGAGTGACTGTTTCTTTACACCCAGTGGTCCCAAACCTGCATGCCGTCCTCAGCCAGATCCCAGAGTCTGCCAAATAGTTCACTCGCACAGACATATAGATGCCTTTCTCCGTCTCTGGCTGGCCCCCCAAAGCCAGCTCTTATTTGCCTTTGAATGGACTGAACTAGATAAGGGCGCAGATGCAGTTAACATGGATGCGGCTTCCACAAGAGTTCAAGAACTCACCCACCCTCTTTGGAGAGGCATTGGCTGCAGACCTTGCCAGCTTTCTGAGAGATGCCACATGCTGAGCCCTCCTGTGGTATGTAGATGACCTCCTCCTTGCCAGTGACACCCAGGAAAATTGTGCAAAAGGCACAAAGGCCCTCCTGCAACTCCTGTCAGACTCAGGATACCGAGCCTCATAAAAAAGGGCACAAATCTGCCAAGAGCAAGTCCGGTACCCAGGCTCCCTCCT